GATTGGTTGCCTCCTGCATGAGGGCCCAGGCCTGGGAGGACCCTACAACCAAGATACGAGATAGGTGCCCTTGACTGGAATAGAGCCCTGGACCCTTCAGTCCGAAGGCTGATGCTCTATTCCCTGAGCCAAACCGGCTAGGGTAGTGGTCGGCAAACTGCGGCTCGGCATACTGCGGCTCACGAGCCACATGTGGCTCTTTGGCCCCTTGGGTGTGGCTCTTCCACAAAATACCATATGTGGCCACGCATGTACAGTGCGATTGAAACTTCGTGGCCCATGCTCAGAAGTCGGTATTTTGTGGAAGAGCCACACTCAAGGGGCCAAAGAGCCGCATGTGGCTCGCATGTGACTCTCGAGCCGCAGTTTGCCAACCACGGGGCTAGGGCCACCCTTTATTTTCTTAACCCTTCCTGTGCTGATGTGTCAAGCTAATGCTCCGGCTGAGCTGCTTTTTTACAAACTAATTTCATCAGGGAGCATCTCACAGAACAAAAACACCTGATTGGCAGAATCTGAATTGAATCGTCTGCATGTGATTAACATTGTAATATCTTAGGTCTTTGTGGTGGCCTGGGTCTCTAGAAATTTCTGCTGTCTGGGCTAGGAGTTCAAGCAGATCATAGAAGCCTCATTGCTTGACAACCAGAAACTGTTTGGTGATGGGGACAGTTTTTAAAAACCATCTGTGACTACTCTGATAAGTGCAGAACCATCCTACTTGGAAGGGGTGCATATCGTTATTTTGTACTATCAGTACTAATTTGCAATTTATGGACTTCTGGTCTTATTGGAGCTGAGTGGAAATGAAATATGTGTAACTCTGATGCTTTGTTTGGTGGAGAGCTGACTGGCTAAAGTTCATTGTTACGTTTTAGTACAGTGGTTGTGTTTGTCATGACTGCCAAACCTACCCTCAGTGGGGGGTCCCAGTGGTACCCCAGGTGGGCTGTCAAAGCACTTGCCGCTTCCCCAGTCCTAGTCATGGGGACAATGAAGGACATTTCATTTACTCTGTAACTGCTTAGTGAGCATATATTTCATGTGTGGTTCTTAAGATATTGTTGTGAACACAACAAAGACCTCACTTATGTGGAGTTTATATTCCTGGGGTAGATGCTGCCAGTGAGCAGATAAATAACCCACTGCAAGCTCCGGGCCTTGTATACAAACACACTCCTCCCTTTAAATTGGGTGTTTTACCCTAAAGTTTTCTGCCCCCAGCTTGTTCCCATTTTTCCCGTGATGCCTTGCATGGAATAAGGGTTTAATAGGTATTTGTGATTACATAGCAGCTAGTGTTATGCACATGAAGAAGTACAGAGGGAGTTTAGTTCGAACATTTATTGAATGATCTTATATGATGTACATTGGGTGGCAGGCTGGGGATGCAGAGCTGTTTTGGATGCTGTGTCAGTAGTCTCCCAGTCTCCTTGACAAGTAGCCTAGGTAGGATCAATGCAGGATATAAACCAGAGCATGCTTTGGGAGCACAGTTCAAACTAGGGGCTTCCTGAAGGAGATGGTATCTATACATGAATGAGTGTTGACTAAGGGAAGAGAAAGTGAGAATAGTGTTCTAGGTGGAGGGACTAAATCAGGCAGAAGTCCAGAAGTGTGACAGAAGCATGGGGTGTACAAGGGACAGTGCCACAGTAATGTCAGGTGGGGATGGCCTGTGTGAAGGAGCTCCAACCCTAGTCTGGGAGGGCACTGCAGAGTTTTAAGCATGTGTTTCACACCATGGTTCTGGCTGCTCTGCAAAAGCCGGACTTAAGGAGGTAAAAATAGAGACAAAAAAGGTCTGAACTGAGATGGTGGTGGCAAGGGTGGATCTGTTTGAATCTCAGCTGGTGATCCTGTTCTTTGGGTGGCTGATTTCAGAGCTCAGACCCCATGGTCCCCTCCATAACCTCTCACTGCCCCAGCTTAGCAACATGCCAGTTGTGGTACAGAATTGTTCTTCAGATGGGACCTCTCCCAGCTAATGCCTGGACCTTGCCACATGGTCCTGTCCTGTCCTGTCCCAGGCTGCCCGCAGTTACCCTCCTTTGTGCCTGCAGATCAGAAAGTTCTTCCTCTGCTGTCCAAATGGTTCTCTCTTCATCTAGTCTCTCTTCATCTAGCCTGGCTGTCGTTTTCTGTAGTGCCCTCTCCCCTTGCTCATCCCTTCATCAGATATTTGTTGACTCCCTTCTGGTTGCCAAGTAATGTTGTCACACCACAGGACAGGGAGGGGGAACCGGCAGTCTCCAGTCTCCTAGAGTTGGCATCTTAGTAGGGGAAAGAGACCATAAACCCATAAATACATAGTGTATCAGCTGTTGATTTCTGCTGTGAGGCCAGTCCAAGGTTTCTCCTAGGAAGTATAGCATGAGTTTAGTGAAGTCTGCAACCTCTCGGGCTGGAGGCTGTTGGAGACAAGGGGCAGAAATCAAGCTCAGAGTACCTTACACAAAAATCAGCTTCTGTTGACTTAGCTGAAAAGTCTTGGGGGTGGGGTTAGCTGTGGGCTAGCTGGACCCTGGGCCTCCAGCGATGGGATTCAGTTTCCTCCCCTGCTTCCTGTTGGATTGGCTCTAGTCTAAGGTCTCTTTTGATGACAGGGTTACCTCCCACCAGCTCAGCAGAGAGAGAGCTCCCCTTCCCCAGTAGCTCCAACAAAATTCCTGGACTTGAATCTCATTCACCATCAGCAGCCTGGCCTTATTCAAGGGTCACAGTGTTCCCTGGGGTAAGGGCCTGCAGTACTTCTTAGGCCTGGAGCCAGGACGAGGCTCCATCTGAAACACAGAGGTGGGGGAGGAATGCTTCCCTGAAGAAAATGAGGGGTTGGGGTGCTGGGCTGGCCAAAACCCTGGCTTCTCCCTGTGCACCTCAGTGCCTTGTTGCTGGCCAGGAGTTGAAGACAGAAGCGAGGCGGGAGCCTGGACCTCCAGCCCTTCGTGCTGGGTTTGTGGTTTATAGGGCAGCACCAGAACGTCTCTGGGATTTCCTGTAGTAGACAAGTGTAAATAAGCTGCTGCCATCCCCAGAGTCCCTCCAGCATTTCTTTGCTGTCATTTATTGTCTAGCATAGGCCTGTCCATTCATTCATTCATCCACCCATCCTGGTTTGTCAGACAGCAACTATGCACTGTGCCAGGAGATGACTGCTTAGGGTAGCATGGAAAACTTGATGGTGACCCTTATTCTCCTCCCTTTAGCACTTTGGTCTCATACATGTCATTCACCCGTGTCCACTGTGGGCTGTGCACAGTGAGGACTGTTGTGAATCTAACTCGGTTATGGTGCCGCTTCAATGAGCGTGGCAGTAGGAATGGTCACCATCAGTGGGCCATTGCCTCAAAGTGAAGACTGGAGCCTGTCCTGCTTCTCCAAGAAGGGGGAGTTTGAAGAGATGGGGAGTGGAACAGGATCCTTTTGGTTTTTGTCTCGGTCTTGTCCTTTTTCCTCCTCAAACTTCCTCTTCACCTCGTTTCTATTGTGGGTAATCGCTGTCACCTCCTAACTGGTCTCTTCACATGGCCTCTTCCCCACACTTCTCATTTTAAACCTAAACCAACCACCATGCCTCCCCCACTCCTTTTGCACCACTTCCCAAATCCTTGGCATGGCCACCATCTGCCCCTGGGCTCCGTGCCTTCACACCTGCCACTCTCCCTGCCAGGCTTTTCTCCTTGAGACTTCAGCACAGCAACCTCATCTCAGGGATATTTCCCTAACACTCTAGACCAGACACTCTACCAGCTCCCTATATGAGCACTCTTATGAACTGCGAACCGTGTCCTCCTCCTACCTAGCAGTCCTGCTGGGGCAAAGCTGTGTGAATGTAGGTTCCTGGTTAATCTAAGTCTCCTATGACTGGAGGCTCTGACAGCAGGACTGTGCAGATGCTCCCCAAATTCATGACTCCCCTGGCCTCCCTCCTCTCTCGGCCCTTGGATGCTGAAGGAGACCCTAAACACACCCCACAGGGTTCATGAGCACACCCAGAGCCACATGCTCAGGTCCAAAACGATGAGGGGCCTCCCCCATGGGTTAAGGTGGTCCTCGGTTACAATCCCCTAGCTGGCCGCAGAGGCTTCCTGGGCTGCCCCTGGATAGGAGATACATGGTATTGCCTGAGAAAATAGGCGGCATAGCCCTGACAGGGCATCCCAAAGGGTCTTTTCCTTCAGCAGACATGCAAGATGGACTCTCAGACTTTTGCAAGTCCATAAATTCTTTTTTTGTTAATGGCTGCTCACTTAGAGAACCAGGTGGAATGTGGGCCGGGGTTCTCCAACAAGCATGAGCTGTGTGGACCAGGGGTCCTCAAACTACGGCCCGCGGGCCACATGCAAATACAAATACTGTATTTGTTCCTGTTTTGTTTTTTTACTTCAAAATAAGATATGTGCAGTATGCATAGGAATTTGTTCATAGTTTTTTTTTAAATTATAGTCCGGCCCTCCAACGGTCTGAGTGACAGTGAACTGGCCTCCTGTTTAAAAAGTTTGAGGGCCCCCGGTGTGGACAGAGATTGCAAACTGGTTGCCCCCTGGCCTCAGCTGACCTGCAGATTAAAAAAAAATAACCAACCCTAAACTAGTCTCCAGCATTTGAAATTCAGGAGATGCCATATAAAGATTTGACTTACCTGAGCTGAATTCCTTCAGAACCACAGTTGGTGGCATTGAATAGCTGCCACCTCCAATGTATTGCAGCTCATCACACTCCCCACACTCCCCACCGCTCTCCCTTGATCAGGCCTAAGTGAGTCTTAAAGCCTTTTTATTGGTGTATAATATGCATACGTATCCTACCATTAAGTGTTGAATTGTCACAAACTGAAACCCCACACCTCCTCGTAATGAAAGTATTTTCTAGGTGATTTGATGTCCTTTGGGGTTACTAATTTTATATGGGTTTGTTTTTTATTTTTAACTTATAATTATAGCTTTGTTTACTGTATGAAATAGTGTTGGGGGGAAAAACACCAATTTTTCTTTTTGCAGAAAAACCTGCCATTGCTCCGCCCGTCTTTGTGTTTCAGAAGGATAAAGGACAAAAGGTAAGGGGCTGGTATGTTCTCTCTTCACATTTGTTTTCTCCTAGAGCTCTCTCTCCCCAGGTCACATAGCAAAGGAGACTTCTGCCCTTTAAGCCTTCACATTGAGCTTGGAGGAAAAAGGTCCAGTGGCTTTAGGTTACCATGGCGAATGGTTGAGATAGGTGTGTGTGGAAAGGGTTCAGAGACCCTGCTTTAAAAAACGGTGGTAGAAAACTTTCTCCTCATTCCTAATGATTTGATTTAGAAATACTGTACATTAGGAAAATTAGTAGGAGAAAAAAGGTTGAAGGACGGAGAGGAGGGAGAGGAGGAGGGACAAGGTGGGAGAGAAAGTGGGGGGAAGGGAAGCGAGAAGGAGAGAGAGCAATGGTGGTTACAGAGGAAAACAGGACCTTTAAAGATTTTAGAGACATCTTTTGGCCCCAACCAACAAGGCATAAATGCATTTAGAATAATTATTAGTTGACTTGGAGTGTATATTTACCACCCATCTTTCTTGGGTTGCTTCCTCTTCTTAGATTTTAAATGTCTTGGTCACATTGTTGTTGGAAATACCTTGTCTAATTCATAGTGATGAGCTGGCAGCCTGTCAAAGGCCTGATTGGTACATCAGTTGCATATCTACCTTTGCATGTTGTTTGTCTTGAAGCCACAGGTTTTATATCCTTACCTGATAAATCAGTATGGAAGGTTGGGATTGTGTCCAAAGTTAGTTGATGTTTTGTGGCGATGCTTCCCAAGCTGATGTGAGGACTCCCTCTAGTTGTCAAAAACGTGGATGATCCCGCCCCACCCAGGGCCCAGGACAACAGATAATTTAATGCCCATGGCAAGATTTCAGAGACCAAGTGTGTCCTGAAATCCATTTGTAATCTTGTTGATAAGAAGAGAATTTGAGAATTGGCTCAGGGCTGGGGATCCACAGGCCGGGTGCTCTGGCGGATCCCCAGTTCCTCGGCAAGGTGGCCGGCTCAGAGGTTGGGACAGCTAGTCTGGTGATTTGACACTCCCAGCAGTCCAGCTACTGCTTTGTAGACTTTGTCCTTTGGTCTGAGAAGGACAGACTTTTCTTTCTGTGCAGCCCAGTTTCCTGGAAAACATTTAGGTGCTATGCCAGGAAGAAAGCTTATGTACTGAGGGGACAGGAGGGAGAGGGGCCCTAAACCCACACCCTCTTGCACTGGAGCCTTCTGTTTTGGCAGGATTTTATCTTCTAGGCTTGTTCTCACATTAAACATCCCCATTGTTAATTCTTTGCTGAAGAAAGAATAGCCTAACCTGAGGAAATGTTCTTCCCATTTTGTTTTGGCTTTCCAGGTGGTATTTTCAAGATACCTCAACCTCTGCTGTCTCCTCTCCCCTGGGCCCTGACACATACATACAGCTTAGTTACCTGTGTTTTTAATCATCCCTCCTTTGGAAAAGGGTCAGTCACTGAAAGGCTGATGTGTTTCCTGTAGCTTTTTAGAAATGGATGTATTTGGTTTCTCTTTTAAATGTAGTCGCTTCTGAGGTTTTTCATTAAGTCGGGGTTTTCTAGCATTTTGAGTTTTATTGCGACCATCATTTGAATCATTTTAGCTTAAAATGGGGGTCAGCAAACTAAGGCCTGGCACCGCTGCTTATTTTTGTAAATAAAGTTTTATTGGTACACAGCCATGCCTATCCCCTTCATAGTTACTGAGGCAGATTTCACACTGTAACAACAGAGTGAAGTAATTTGGACCCAGACCCATGGCCTGCAAAGTCAAAAATATTTAGTTTCTGGCCCTTTACAGAAAAATTTGCCGACCCTGAATTTAAAATGAGCACTAGGAATTAATAGTTCTTTAAACCTGAGGACTTTTGGACAGCTGGCAGGATGAAAAACTAAAATGCAATAAATGTTTGGCTGAATTTAAAATGCTTTTAAAATTAATTCCTGTTTTATTACTGTTTTCACAGTTGAGGTGGTTTCTGCTTTGGTTTTTTGGTTTAGTTAGGTTTTTTTACTTTTTTATTGAATTTATGGGGTGACATTGGTTAATAAAATTATATAGGTTTCAGTTGTACAATTCTATAATACATCATCTGTATATTGTATTGTATTGTATTGTATATGTTCACCACGCCAAGGCAAGTCTCCTTTTATCACCATTTATCCTCTGCTATCTCCTCCCACTCCCCTTTCCTTCTGGTTCTGTTGCTTTGTAATCCAAAGGATAACTTACATGTATTGCCTTCATAAAGTTAAGGTAAATTATGTAAATGGATGACTGAACCAGAAGAGTAGCTAGGAAGATGGTCATCATCAACTTAAAATATACAAATGTAGTTCTTATCACAATACTGACTCAGAGCCAACACTAATGGGCTTCTAAAAATAACTGATCTGCAGCTTTTCAGAATTCAGCTCTCCATTTCTGTCCCAAGATCATCGAAAGGGTGTGGGAAGCCTCTCTGTTTAACAGCAGAAGCTGGAAAAGCCTTTGTGACTGTCCTTTAGGGGTGCTTTCTGAGCTGTCAGGTAGATAGATAGTGGCTAAATGGACTCAGAATCTTTTCTTTCTCTATTGTTTATGACAGCACAAGAGTAAGGTGGAAAGTAAACAGTAATCAGGTAGCTTTGTTTCCCTTTAACTTCCCATTTCAAGAAAGACGGAAGGGCAGGTCTTCAAGGATCATCCACAAGACTTCTTGCCAAAGTAAGAGTTTGAGAGTCTTCCAGTTTCATTCTTTCTTTCTGCCCCAGTCCCTTCTCATACTGCAAAAGCAGAACTGGGAAAAGACTGTTGGGGCTGCTTTTTTCTGAGCACACTCTTATCCTCTTTCTCTTCGACGTTTTATTTTGAAATTTTCAAATTATCAGATAAGATGGAAAAACAGTACCGAAGACACAGGTATTCTTCACCTGGCTTCACTGTTAACATCTTTGTCATAAATGCTGAAAGCACTCAACTGTAATTTGCTCCCATCTGATGTTCCCCTCTAAATACTTCTGCAGGTGTTGCCTAGGAATAGTGTGTCATTCCTCTCCATGGCCCCAGTGTCATTGTCACCCATAAGAAAATGACCATTCAGAAGTCTCCTCCAATATATAATTTGTCCTAATTGTCACCAAAATGTCCCTTATAGCTATTTTTTGAGCCACTTCTTGATCCACATAGATCAAGTATTCCCATTGTCACTGTGAGGCCACTAACTTCCTTGTCAGTAAACAGTCTCTAAACCATCCAATGGGTGTGTTTCAAAGAGCCCCTGTCCCTCAACCCCATTCAAAGGAGAGCACACCACAGGCCCAGCTATTGTTGGGATAAAAGATTTGAAATTTTAAAAACAAATAAGCTGCCAGCTAGGTGTTTTTGTTTGGTAGTAAAGCCACACAACATTTTATATCAGTTCCATTGATGGTCCGTGTGTTCATAGCAAACTACAAATTGTTATTAGTGGCCTGCTGGTGGCAAACAGGTCAAGTTGTCAAATCCTCCTGTTGTCCCAGTTAGAGAAAGCCTTCCACAGTCTGAACTCCAGTCCTAATGCACAAGCATTGTCTTTACTGCCATCCATGTCTCCAGGCTTCCTCAAGGTGGTGCTCTTCACAGAATGCTTGTGTTTACATGCATTTGTGTGGTTTTCTTAATGAGTTGTTTGTTTTTTAAATTTTAAGCCTCACCCAAGGATATGTTTATTGATTTGAGAGAGGGGAAAAAAAACATTGATTGGTTGCCTCTTATACTTGCCCCAACCTGGGACCCCAACCTGGGACTGAACCTATAGTCTAAATAGGTGCCCTGACCTAAAATCTAACTGCATTCTTTCAGTGTACAGGATTACCAACTGAGCCACACTGGCCAGGGCTACATGCATTTGTGTTTTTAAAGCAAAAACAAAACCTTTTATTAACTGCCTTGAATAGACGCAATTTTTTTTTTTCTTTTTAATGTATAGAGAATTTGAATCTCATTCAGTAGGTTGTCTTATTGTATGTGATAATTAAATGTTTCTTTCAGCCCTGGCCAGTGTGGCTCAGTTGGTTGAGCGTTGTCCCCTGTACCATGCACCGAAAGGTCTTTTGTTCAATTCTCGGTTAGGGCACATGCCCAGGGTGCGGGTTCCATGCATACTTGAGGCAACCAATTGATATTTCTCTCTCATATCAATGTTTCTCTCCCTCCCTCTTTCTCCCTCTCTAAAATCAATAAAACTTTGTTTTAATGTTTCTTTCAGTTAGTTTATCTTCCAAACATTTGTTAATCCGAAGGGGGGTGGTATTGCGGTTGCACTGGCAAGATGATGCCCATTTGGTAACAAGACAGAAAGCAGGAACAGAAATGCTTATGAGCAGAAAGTCCGCTATTGCTGAAAATGCTTATAAGCAGGAACTCCGGGGTTGCTGAAAATGCGGTATAGTATGTTTAGACCTAGTTTTGAAGCTTATTGTTGGTGTAACAAGTATACCCTATGTGCATGTTTTTATTTTGTTTGTTATTTTTGTCAGCCACATATAGTTTAGGATATATGATCTAGGGTCTGGATCTGATGTCTGATTTTAATAAACATGTTAAAAAAACTACAGGTCCTATCTTGGTTCTTTAGACTTTCTTGTCCAACAGAAACACTCGGACCCAAGGAGAAAAATGCTGGAACAACTTTTGTATTTCTTTTTGGTCATCTTGAGTCCACCATGCTATGAGGACATTTGAACATTTATGTTTTAAAAGCAGAGATTTTTAAAAAATATATATGAGAGTAGACGAATTGTGAATAAATAAGAAAGCAACTAAGTAGAAGCATCAACAATCAGCTCAGTAGATACTGTATACATTTGGTTTCTACTTTTTTTTTTTAAATATATTTTATTGATTTTTTACAGAGAGGAAGAGAGAGGGATAGAGAGTTAGAAACATCGATGAGAGAGAAACATTGATCAGCCGCCTCCTGAACACCCCCCACTGGGGGTGCACGCAACCAAGGTACATGCCCTTGACCGGGACCCTTGAGTCCGCAGGCGGACGCTCCATCCACTGAGCCAAACCGGTCAGGGCGGTTTCTACTTTTACAAGCTAGATTCTAGAACCTGCTCATAATCCTCAGTAAATTGTTTTGCCCAGATGTCATGAATTAATTGATACTAAGTTCACCTCAACTTCCCATTTGAAAGGAAGCACTGACATTTAAAAGCAGGGATTTAAAGGAAAAAAAACCCAACTGGTTCTAATTAGAGAGATAGGCAGTTTCCCACAAAGCTCTGGGTTTAATTTTCTTTTGGTGGGTGTTAAATTTCTAACCATAAAGCAGCAGCCGACTAGTGGGCAAACTGACCTTGGTGCCCCAGAAAGGTTAGAGGAACAGTTTGGGAAGGTCTTTCAGTCTGGATCTTCCCTAGATAGGAAGGGTTGCTTTTGGTGGCTTTTTAGATGTGTGCATGAGTTAACATTGCGTTGCTATTGCTTTCCTAAGAATGTTGGAAAGTTCTCTTAAATCTTTTTTATATAGCACCTTTCATCCAAAAGGCTCACATGTTAAAAAAATAGCCCCAACACCTATCTAAAGAGATCTCAGATACTTCACACCCAGAAGAAACACAGCAGCGTCAGCAGGGTGGCTGGATAGGGTAGCCTGTGGTCATTTAGTTCACAAAGTAAGAGAAAGGGCTTCTTGTGGGTGATGCCATGCAGGAGGTTTGGGAATTGGAGCCTATTTGTTGCAGGACACCAACTTAATACCCACTTCTCAAGATAAGAGTCTTGGCCACAGAGCTCTCAGCCCACTAAAGCAATCCCCAGAAGCCCAAGAACCAGCTCAAAGAATGTCCTTGTACTTTCAAGGACAAAGACCCCTGGAGCCAGCTTTCTCTTATCCTGGCTGTTTTCCAAATAAGCCCCTGCCCAAGGTGTTTGGAATGAGCCTGGGGAAATCCCAAGCCAAAGGGCTCCCTCTTCCAGCTAAACTCCCACCCTCCCCCCAATACAAAACTGGCTTTTTGTGTCTCTGCCAGGTCCTTTAGTCACCCCACACCTGCACTCACTGAAATGAGAAAAGCTCTTCCTTCATCTCCGGTTTAAGCAGAACAAGTTGAAAGTTGATGGAAGAACTAGGGTGAGATGCAGAAGCTTTTGGCCCTGAAAGCCTATGCTTGATTGTGTAGTGTCCCTGGCCTACTTCCCCACCTTTCCTAGCAGATGGAAGTGGTGCTGAGGGCAGCTTCCCTGATCATATCTTTGAGGAGATGTGTTATTAATCTGTAATCATCCCTATTCCCCTCTGATAGAGGCACTGTCCCCATTTTTGTCACTAGGAGTGTTTTTCTTCACTCATGGCCCATAAGCAGAGTAGCTCCATGCCAAGCCTTGCACTTTTGAAAACAAAGGTTCAGACTTCCTGCACACCTTAAAGCTCCTTGTAAAGTCAAACAGCAGGAAGTCCACATTCATTTTACTTTGTGCCTTCTTTCTTGGCCCATCCTCCTGGGCAGGAATTGCTGAAGGTGGAGCCATCTCTAGGCCTCCGATCCCTGCCCCCATCCCCTGCCCCATGTTGCAGCCTTTATTTACATTGAAGGAAAATTGTCTTTTTTGCTCCCAGTCCTCTGCAGAGCAAAAAGACTTGTCGGATTCGGGAGTGGAGCCTCAGGGGGAGGCTGAGGCTCCCCACCATGGCCCAGGTCACCCTGAGTCAACTGGTGAGCATGCTCTAGAGTCTCCTGCCCCCGCTAGCGCTTCAGCCAGCGCTCCTGAAGCCCAGCTTCCTCCTTTTCCACGAGAACTGGCAGGGGTAAGTCCACCTCCATTCCATGGCCCAGGGGTCCCAACCCAAACCGGCCCTTTTCCCTCTGAGTCCCTCAGATCCAGACTTTAGAATATAAGCAGCTGATAACTGAAAAGGTGTCCAAGATCTCTCCAGCTCTCTTTAATTCCTGCTGCTGAAAAATCAGAGAAAATTAGGTCCCCTTTACATGGAGACTTGTCTAGTTGGATAAATATATGCCCATAGCAAAAAGCTAGTCCTGTTTCCTGAAATAGACACGAGGGGTCAAAAGAGGAATTGAGTAGTGGGTAGAACTTTCCAAATCAAATTGGACCCCTTCTCCTTCCTTCCATTTTTTCTTTCTCTCTCTGAATCCGGGCCTTCCAAATCAGTGTCTTAGAAACACAAGGAGCTCTGGCTTCCTTAATCTGTAGGAAGAGGAGATGTCTAACACAAATTGCTTTGCAAGACTGATTGTGTCTGGACTGTGGTGAGGCTGTGAGCTGCTTGTCTTCAATCAAAGCAGGAAGAAGAGAAGACTCTTCTTTGAATCCAGAGGGAACCCCTGAGCTCTTTATCTTTGTATTAAGAAGGCTTTTGAAGATAATAGGTGGAGAAGATTATGAACTCTCAAGAACAAGAAATGTCTTGAGTGTTTGGAGTTTGATAAGTTGGGAAAGGTAAACATCATCATATATTCAGGATTGTAAACTCCATCCTCTAGGTACCCCCAATGTCGTGACATTGAAAAATGACTCTTAACAAGAAAACAGAGGACCCCACTCTGCCATACAGACTGCAAGGCAGCCTTCCAGGGCATCACAACCCTAGACATTTAGCAACTTCTATGTCACGTCACCAGTACCCTGTGTTCTTAAGGAAACCATTAAAATTCAGTTACAGGCACCAAACCATAGGCGCAAGAAGAAGCCGTGTTCGGCCAAGGTGAGATTGGAGTCATATTTTGACAATTTAGAGGAATCAGTGTGTGGTGGCTAAAGGAGTAGTTTTTATCATGGGTGGGGAACAACAGGGAGGCAGTCCTTCGTGGCCTAGAAGTGGGTTTGGGATAATGAAGTGTACTCAGAAGCTCAGTAATGACTCCAGCCAGGAGGCACTTACTGCCAGGGTGTTCTGGCATCACAGCCCTGACAGAGAGCTGGGCAGGGCAATAATTAAGAGGTGGTCACTTTTTTGGTTGGGGGCAGAGCAGCTCCTGGGACCTCTTCCTGAGTCAGGTATTGTTAGTTATTTTATCTGCAGCCTTTGCGAACAGGTCATCTGTTCTCAGGCACTAAGAACAGATGACCTTGAAGTGGACCTGCCTGAGAGACTCTGAAGCCTTCTGCTGCCTAGTTTGAAAAACACAACTTAGAGGCATCTCTAACTGGGATGGTTGAGGGTTTCCAACTGCGAAGAGCAGACGGCTAGATTGCAGAAATTGTGTCATGGCAGCTACTCTACCAGATTCATGTGGGCTATTTCAGGCCCCTCTCACTTCTAGTGCCCACTTGGTAAAACTGGTGGGTCTTCACCTTCCACCTGTGGCCAGTCCAAATGTTGATCTCTGAGGAACGTGGCTTCACTGTCCTTGTGGACATTGGGTTGGAGACTCTAATCCAGGGGTCCTCAAACTTTTTAAACAGGGGGCCAGTTCACTGTCCCTCAGACCGTTGGAGGGCCGGACTATAGTTTAAAAAAAAACTATGAACAAATTCCTATGCACACTACACATATCTTATTTTGAAGTAAAAAAACAAAACGGGAACAAATACAATATTTGTATTTGCATGTGGCCCTCGGGCCATAGTTTGAGGACCCCTGCTCTTATCCCAAGAAATTCAGTTGTTCTCCAGGCTGGCCAATACAAGGTCAAGTGTTCTAGTAGGTAACCTCAGGATGGATTGTGAAGTCATCATTGGAGGGAGCCAGGTCTCGGGGGAGTGGTTTATGAATGGAGAGCACAACCGTAAAGGCCTGCATCTCACACACACACACACTCACTGTTTCAGCATTTGTGACTACAGAAATCCTCCGTTCCGTCACAAGTCCCAGCAGCACCACCATCATATCAGTTGGGGACAGCTCTGAGGGCTCACCAAGGGCTCGCTCTGTGGGGCTGTCTGCAGAGGAAACCATGGCAGGTTGCTAATGGCTCCTGTCAGTTGACTTTCCCCACTGAGTGGGCATGTTCAAGCAAAGTTCACTTTGGTTTTTAGGTCAATTAAGGCATAAGTCAAGGCAGAGAAACCTGATCCAGGCTTCTCGGGCTGAGATTTTTTCCCTTGGTTACTCATTGCGTTGGCATCAGAACAAATTTGGATCTTGCTCTGTACCACACCAGAGTTCAGGAAACCGCCCACAGGTTACTCAGCAGGTCTCATCCATCATGCTCAGTCTCTTCTCTGTGCCTCAATCCCTGGGGGTCTATAAAGCATGAGCTCTTTATGGCAAATAGTGGCTCGCTGAATTGTTATAAAGGGCCTTGATCATCTTTCAGTCTCATCAGCACTCTAGCCATGGAAGACTCAGTACCAGAAAAAAGTCTATATATCAGACTTCCTGGCTCTCAGCAGGCAGTTTGAAGAAACCCAAACCACATTTCAGATTCAGTTCTCTTATCCAGGAGAAGCGAGCAGCTTCGTGCTTGCCCCGGTCCTGGCTGAAGTCTGCTGGACTGAAGCTCCAAGCCAAGGCACTGATGAGCTTAAACTATGTTTATGAGACCCACCAAGAAGCTTAGAAAGTGTCTGGAACGAGCCCCCTGGCTGGACAGCTTCCCTCATCTTCCAGCTCCTGCACAGGATTTGACTTTTGTTCCATCCCCACCCTACTTCATGTCTTCGGAGGCCACTTCTGTTTTTCTTGTTTCAGTGAGCTTTTTTAGTAAGAATTTCTGAGCTGGTTGCCTCAGTCACAAAATTGGCCCATAGTTGATATGAAGACAAGGACATGATCAGGCTTTGCTTTTTTTAAAAAAAAAATCCTCACCCAAGGATATGTTTTTATTGATTTTTTTTTTTTTTTTTTTTTTTTTTTGAGAGAGAGAGAGAGAGAGAGAAAGAAGGATGCGTGTGTGAGAGAGAAACATCAATCTGTTGCCTCCCATACATGGTCTGGCTAGGGATCTGACCCACAATCTAGGTATGTGCCCTAACTGGGAAGCAACCCTGCAACCTTTTGGTGTATGGGACGACGCTTCACTGAGCTACTGGACCAGTGCAGTAGGCCCTGCTGTTATTTGATTTTTCATCCCACAGCCAGGTGGACTTTCTAACTGGTCAGTCCAGGCTGGAGTCACTGAGGCCCAGGCAGGCCAAGTGGCATCCAGTGTTTTCTGGAAAGAACTTGTTTGACTTCATCTTGCTTTCTGGTCTTTTCTGGGAGGTCAGGAAGGCAGTGCTTTTCATTTCTGCATACTTCCTGTGTGCCTATGTCTTTCATGTTCTGAAACACAGTCTCCAGCTCCATCCCCTTCCCTGGCCTGGCACCTTTTTTTCCCTCGAGGCCACACCAGGCAGCCTCATGAGAGCCATGTTTTTTTTTTTGGAGGAGGGTAATAATAAATCTAATAATCATAATTTTTACAATTTAATCCTTTATACAAAAATCAGAAGCTTCCCGTGCATATGTTCCCATCCTGGGTTAGACATTATCCCGATTTTGTACTTGGTGACAGGGTCTTACACGCCTCCCAGAATGAACTGCTTCCCTGGAGGACCCAGTGGCTTCTGAGGGGAGAGGGCTGCCGGTGCCGCCCAGAAGCACACGGTGAGCAGCTCCTTTGATTCTTCTGCAGGCTGGTGTTTACCAGCTCACAGCCCCTCCGCCATCTAAGAGGGCTTTTCCATTTTTGTGAACCTGCTTCATTCGTTCACACCGTCCTGAAGCCAGAGAAATCAGTTGAAAGGTTATCTTTGTTCTACTTTCTCTTCAGCCTCCTTATGTCAGTGTTAGTTGGGTATATTTTCATCATGATGTCCCAAATGGGTACTGACTCTTCCACTGGATTCTACTGTGGAGAGAGGCGGAGCAGAAAATGGGGCTTCTACACCCTGCTTCTGTTCTCCCTAAGAAGCACAGATCCTGAAAATCTGCTCTAGAATCCTCCTCATATGAGTCTCTGTAATGGTAATCCTTGAACTTGGGCTGCAGATTTCTGAGGTCCAAGGAGTTGGGAGTCCCAGGCATTGCTTTCTACTGACCCCTGAGTAGCCACTCCCTTGATTGGGATGAAGGGTTTCCCCCACGCTGCTCTGACACAGAAGAGGTCCAGACCACCAGACTACCATCCAAGGGAAATGGTGGAACTGGCGTTGGCCTTGAGGGGAAGGGGAGCGCGGCAGAGGGAGTTGCTGCACCTCAGACCTTTTCCTGCCAGACAGCAAGCTCAGCCCTTCTCCAGCAGGGTGTAGGGCAGGTTGCTCTTCACATGGACATCTATGAAGGATTTCTAAAAGAGTCAGCATTTCCAAAGGCATGCAGAAATGACTTCACCTTACATTCTGTCTTCCTGCGTCCTTGCACTAATTTTTTTTTTTTTTTTTTAAGAAGAGTTGCCAATGTCAGTTTCCTCATTGCTTCTCAGGTGTTTCATACTCCACAGGAGGTTCCAGCAGTTTTTGGAAGGTTCTCCTTGTTGGGGATTCTTCCTGTGTTTTCCTTCCCAGGCCTTGGCCTCCAGGTTTTTCTGGACCAAGAGACCCATTGCCTGTCTGTGGGTGGTTCTTCAAAAGACTTGGGGCAAAAATTTGAGGGTTTCCTGGAGTCAGGGGTCTAGGAGTGTCTGAATCTTGTTTGGCCAGGCAACTTTTCTTCTCAGGTTTCCCAAGGGGCCATAGTGGAGGATATGGACTCCATTTGTGCAATAAATACTTGAGAGTTTTTTGTGTACTGTGTCCTGGGTGTTGCACATATGAGCTATGAGGATAACAGACAGGGTAGGGCCTCATCATGGCTAGAGACAGACACATTAGATCATTTCTGATTGTGGTACACAAAACGGTAGAGGCCCAAGAGAGGCTGAAGGGTGGGGTTAAGGGGAGCTGCCTCCACTTTCTGGGCAGTGAGATAGGCATGAGCATAGGTTCATTCTGGAAGTGATCAGGAAAGGCCACAGTGAGTGGACCTGCAGGAAAAGCACCCAGGCCTTGGGAGTAGCACATGGCAAAAGAACATTGAAGCGGGACAGTGCTGACATACTCAGAAAACAGCAGAGAGATAGGTTGGAGTATGACGGCAAGGAGGAGTGGTATGGGATGAACCAAGAGTCCTGGTAAGCAGTCCTGGACCCTGAGAGGTGAGGCTAAATCTCCAGAGGCTCCTGGTTTGAGGAAGGGCTCCTAGCAACATTCAAATTCTTAAGGAGACCCAGATGCCTGAGGCTTTGCTGTGTCGTTGGAAGAGGTAAGAAATTTAGGTGTCATTAAAAGAGCCCCAAAATACATGCAGCAAAAATTGGCAGAACTGAAGGAAGAAATTGACAATTCAGTCATAACAATTGGAAACCTCAGTACTGCACTCTCAGTTATCAGTAGAATATCCAGACAGATGGACCCAGCAGATTGCACTGTCCCCTCAGTCACAAGGAACCTTCTCCAGGGTAGACCCCTTGCTAGGCCACAAAACCAGTCTCAGTAAATCTGAAAGGATTTAAACCATACAGTCTTCTCCAAACACAGTGGAATGAAATTAGAAATCCATAGCAGAATGAGCCCTGGAAGATTCACAAGGTGGAAACTAACATAGATGGCCAGCGGGCAACAGGAAAGTTATGTATGGAGGCCTGTTGAGATTGAGACGCTAGAGGAATCTCCTCTGCAACAACTGAGGCAGCTCGGGCCTAACGACTTTCAGGAGCACCGGCTGGTGCTGGCTGTTGCCCTGTGCATAACTTAGGAACACAGTCTTTCACTGAGCAAATGCTGAGGAAGCGCCTGCTTGGTGGTGCCGAGGGCCAGTCCCTCCTGGAACTTTGAGTCTAGCAGGGGACCCTGACACGGAGCAATGAGGCCAAAGGACCAAGGGGTTTGTTCTCACATGGGAACTTAGAGACCTGAGGGAAAGGAGGACATCAGTGGATAAGGAGTCAGTGTCTACAGAGCCCAGAGAGGGTGATCATTTCCAGATCCCAAAAGTCAATCCAGGAAGTGGCAGATCCCAGTTCCTACAGAGCCACGGGGTGGTAACACAGCTCTTTATTATCAGAGGTCAGCCCCGGTCACTGCTGAATCATAGTGCTGTGGGCTCAGGAACCCCCATTCAAGGGTCTTCAAACCTGGCCCCTCAACTCCTGGCTGCCCCCAGGACATTATTCCAAATCCCAACTCACCTGTTCATGCCTGTCCCTGAGCTTTCAAGCCCTGTCCAAGGGTGTAACATCCAGTGAAAGTGAGCTTGCTGGGAGAGCAAAGCCACTGCCAGGTGTGAGCTATAGCAAGACTGGCACGTTGGGCTGAGCAAATGCCACCTATTTATCCAGTTGACCCCGTGCCACTTCCCTGTGGCACCAGCACCCTATTTTCCAAATGAGATAATTTGCCCAAGGTTTCCCATTTAAGTAATGGCATAGCCAGAAGAAACACTCTAGATCTAGAAGCCTTGAAGAAGGGGGGGGGGGGGGGGTTGAGCACTCTCAACGCTCCACTCATGCCCCATTTGGGCCCAGTGGTTTGTTCACAGCTGCCCCAAGGACTATTGAATAGCCCCGTTGTGAGAAGGGTTTCCTAGCACTTGGATGGATGGTCCCCTATGAGCTTCTAATCCCCTGAGACATACCTGGGGACAGTGTCATCCTCTCCCTTCACAAATACTTCAGGGAGGCTCTTAGGACACAGACTTGGAGCAAGAAGCCCAAGTTGGTTTTTTTTACTCTAAACCCTAGTCGTTGATTCACACAGGAGAGAAGGTCCAGGTTGGGATCCTTTTCTTACTGTCCAAGCTCTCGCCATCCTTCAAGATGGGCCAGTCTACACACTCTTACCCACAAGCTAAGGTGGCGTTTACATTTTTAAAAAATTGTAAAAACAATATACAGCATGTGGTCCTCAGAGCTGGAAATACTTTCTGACCCTTTATGAGAAAAGTGTGTTGCCCAGGCTTTAGGAGGTCCTCACTAGTGCAGAGTCAAGTTCCAGCTTCAGGAGGAAAGCAGGGAGGGTGTCAGGTCACCAGCAAGAATTAGCTGCCCCAGCTTTAGGAGGGTCCCTCCAGCTCCTCCCTCGCCTACAGTTTAGTGCAGTTACTGCCTCCACACGTGCTCTGCCGTGTGAAAAGCTCTTTCACACGCACCACCTCATTTCATCCCTCCGCTCCTCCAGGCAGGTGGTCATCATCTGGCTAACCATGAGTCTTAGGGGCTTTTCTGAACCTAAGAAAACTGGCTCCTCTGCTGTTTCTTAAACACCCCAGGAGGAGTGATGTTCAATCTTCCACATTTGCTTTCTGCTGCTTAGTTCTCAAGAAGCATACGTCCCTGAGAAGGGACATACAGGAGGGATTATATGTTATCCTGGGTTGGGAGGGGACTCATTTCAGGCCTCTTAATTGTTAGTTGTTCACATTCTAGAAGTAAAGGTTGTTAAGGAAAGATTCTTCAGCCACCTTTCCGGGTGTGTGTGTGTGAGAGAGAGAGAGAGAGAGAGAGAGATCGTTCAGTGGGTTTGTAGTCTATGAATTGTTCTGTTCTGAGCACGTTGTAGCAGACTTTGGTCCGAGGCATCAAAGTTCTAGGTTGCTCTGGAAACAATGGCCTACCTTGAAACAAGGTTCCTTACCGTGGAATATGCCAGGGCAAGGAATGGAAACCACAGCAATCCGGTGTTAGGCGACCGTTTTTAGTTTTTATTTTTATTGTTAATCTAAATCAAAGGTTATTTTTTCATTGATTTTTAAAGAGAGTAGAAGGGAGGGGGAGAGAGACAGAGACATCGATTGGTTGCTCCCAAGCACGCTCTGTCTAGGGCCAGGGATCAAGCCTACAACCTAAGTTCGTGCCCTGGACCAGACTCGAACCCAGAACCCTTCAGTCAGCAGGCTGATGCTCTATCCACTTAGGCAAACTGGCTAGGGCTAGGCAACCATTTTTTTTTTAATTAAACAGTCCAGCTGCCCTTCAGAGTGGAGAACAGGTCGCTTTTCAGCTCTTGGCAAAATGAGTTTTGGCCAGGTAAAGTTTCACTATGCTTGAATTTGGGAGTGACACACCAGTTAGCTGTAACCTGTGGAGAAACAAAGAAGCCGATCCTTGTGCTGTAAATGTGCTGTCAGTCATTAAGAGGATTCCTTAGCTCGTGGCCTGGTCTGCAAAACGTTCATGGGGGAGTTCTGAGCGTGAGATTGAAAGTTCCTCTGTGACTTGGTGGCTGAGCTAAGGGAGTTGGTCCTCAGTACTGTCTCTCAGGATCCATTCATTACGGACCTTCTGAGCTGTTAGGTGAGAGGGCAGCTTGGCCCTCTCTTCCACCCTGACATGTGCTCTCGTTTCAGAGGTCAGCTGGAGGCTCCAGCCCTGAAGGTGGTGAAGGTGAGGAAACCTCTAAAACGTTTCACTGTCTTTCATTGTAAAAATGGAAGGAACCTGATTTTCTCCTCCTTCTCATTGTTTTCTGTAGATTCTGACAGAGAAGATGGAAATTACTGCCCTCCTGTCAAGCGAGAAAGGACGTCCTCTTTAACCCAGTTCCCACCTTCACAGTCAGGTAACAGCTACGGACCTTTATTGAGTGACAAAAGCATTCATGTTTACAAGCCCACTGTAACATCTCACACACACCTGCCCAGACCCAGTTAGAATCAATCTGAGACTTGGTCTCTGTCATGATAAGGTTAGAGCTTGTCAGAGGTGGCACCAGGTACCCCAGTCTGGGATCAGTGACACTTATGGAGGGGTGTGACCTAGTGGACTGATAAGAAAGATGCACCAAGAAAAATCATCCCTCTGAAATAAAGGGACTATCTGAGCCCTATTGGGGCCTCTGACCACTAATCACATGTCCACCTTCCAAAAGCTGCTTGGAAGTGGGGGATTCTCCTGACCCTTCTGCCTAGACCTTGGTGGTCCAATTGAGAAGGACACACACATGGTTCATAGTGAGCTGAGTGGTCCCAATAGACACTGTGGTGGTGGATTGCCTTGAGCTCCCTGAGGAAAGGGCTTGGTGGAGGCTTGAAAGGTGGGCCAGACTGGACCCCTGTAGAGGTATCTGGACTGGGCATGATCTCAGCACATGCACAGAAGCCAGAAGACCAGCTACAGCATATGCAAAGCCTGGTGCAGAAAAGAGGTAGGTTCAAGGGTAGAGAGAGACACTGGGGCTACTTAGTAGGGGCTCCTCGAGCCTGGGGACTCCCCTGTAGTTTGGAGAGTCAGTGCTGTCAAAGGGCTGCTCCCTCTCCTCCCCACCTCATCTGGACTTGGTCCACTCTGGCATTGTCCCATCTTGGTCTCTGTAACCATGACTTAGAGATGCACGTGTATTGGGAGAGGATCTCTAGTTACCCAAATTGAAGTTCATTCTTGCAAAGTTCATATAAAACATTTACAACTGTGAAAAAAGACACTCTTGGAAAGTTTGTTTCTGCTTAAAAAAGTAATGCAGACTTTATAGGAATAGTTGGTGCAGAAAGTGAGCGTCCTCTCAAGGTTGTCTCTGTAACACACTTAATTTCCTACCTATTTCCCTTAACGCTTTTTTTTTTTTTTTTTACGTTGCCATGTCCTTTTTCATGACTGCATAAGACCCTCCCCTGAATGGATGCACTGTCAATTGCCCACTAGGCATTAAGGAACTGTCCAGATGGTTTGCAGTGGACATCCTTTTTTAAGGGCCTCTGCCCACTTGTTGCATAGGTGTTTCTATGGAATGAGGAAGCATCCACTTCCTGGCTGTGATTGTGTTCCTTCCGTTCACTGTCTACTGCTGAACCACACTTTCTCATTAGGAAGGTGTAGCAGAGAAGAGATGAGGTGATTTGTATTGTGCACTAGGCTGAAGGGGCAAAGGACTACCAAACATTTTCTCTCTCTAGTGCAGTGGTTCTCAACCTTCCTAATGCCGCGACCCTTTAATACAGTTTCTCATGTGGTGACCCCCAACCATAAAATGATTTTCGTTGCTACTTCATAACTGTAATTTTGCTACTATTATTAATCGTAATGTAAATATCTGATATGCAGGATGTATTTAGGCGACCCCTGTGAAAGGGTCGTTCGACCCCCAAAGGGGTCGTGACCCGCAGGTTTAGAACCGCTGCTCTAGTGCATTGGTCTAGGACAGTGGTCGGCAAACTGCGGCTCACGAGCCACATGCGGCTCTTTGGCCCCTTGAGTGTGGCTCTTCCACAAAATACCAAGTGCGGGCGCGCACGTACATTGCGATTGAAACTTCGTGGCCCATGCACAGAAGTTGGTATTTTGTGGAAGAGCCACACTCAAGGGGCCAAAGAGCCGCATGTGGCTCGCAAGCCGAAGTTTGCCAACCACTGGGAGATAATCAGCTCCCAATCCTCAGAGGAAATGGAAAGATGAGCAGTACCAGTGAGATCCAAAACAGGTACTGGGGGTGGGGAGTGCAGCCAACTTTTGAGCCCGGACTGGTGACAAGGAGCAGGGGCTGAGGCTCAGCCCCAGGTAAGACTTGATACATCTGGCGTGCTCCGATTTCCTCCTGGCTGCCCCCACGGGCCTAGGGTGCCAAGGAAAAGCCAGGGGCATGAGGACAGGAGAAATAACCACAGTGGACCAGAGTGAACTGGTAGACATCAGACAGAGGCCATTAGGCTGGAGACTCCCCTCTTCTTGCTGTAGAGAGTGTGGAGTATCTAAAGGCCTTATTCATTATGCTGACCCCCACCTCTTACACCACAGTGGGACTTGGAGATCAACCCCTCATGTCTGCCCCACCTACTCACTCTGTTTTTCCTCTTGTTCCCCCCCTGCCTGCACCTCCTTGCTGACAGTATCAAAAAACAATGTTTTTATGCCATCAACCTTCTGCGAGCCATCTGCAGGCAATTCTGACTCAGAACCAGGTGAGCCCTCACATCCCTTTGCCTTTCACAGCCAGTCACTGGGGGTTTTCCTGGGGTGAAAAGCAGTTAATACTGTAAAATAGCACCTTAACAGCAATGGACAGTTTGAAAGCAGAGTTCAGTTTCTAAATCTTTTCCCAACTCTTTAGCTTGTACATTTGGAATCCAGTGTAAGAGAGGCTTCATAAGCCCTTATTTCTGTTTCTGTAAGGAAGCCTGTTTACAAGGATTTTTACATCCTTCTTGAAAAAAAGAAAGAGATGTATTACTTGTTTTTCAAAATTTTACACAAGTAATACATTTATGTAATTTTTAAAAAGGCAGATTAGAAATAAATAGACTTTAAAAAGAATTAGCCTGCCCCTTTCCCACTGACTACCATCCCAAAGGTAACTAATGTGAAATGTAATTTCCCAGACCCCTTTTCGGTTATTAAATTCCCACATTAATTAGTATGGCTTAGATGTGTTCAGATAAATGCATATATTTAATCACGGCCTTAAAACTTTAAGGAAAACAGCTTGCTCCCCTCTGAAGAACATAGAGCCTGCCTTTTTTGGTCTTTTGCAGGAGAACCAACTCCAATAATTCCTGAAAGTTTCTCCTCATAAAAGATTTAATGAGCAAGTTTAACCACCCGAATTCTGTAACCAAACCTGCCTTATATAAATTCATTGCCGACTTCAAAAGCATTGCAAGATAACTCATACTCTGGCATGAGAGTGATGTCAAGGGAAGAGGCTAGTTTTTATAACTTTGAGGATTGATTTGATGGCACCATTTCAAACAGTTGAATTTGTTCTGACTCTGAAAACACACTGTTTGGAGTTGACCCCCCTTCCCACTTCTGAAGAGGAACTTGGTTTTTAAAGGTCTTTGGTCGTACCTGAGGCACTGGTTTAGCAAGTTGTGTTCTGAGGTGTGGGGGTAGTGTTAGTCTTTGCAAGTCTATTTTGGTCTAGGGATCAATAGCTGAAGACACACATCTTGATCCCTTTATGCCATGGAGTTCTATTATGAATCTCAAGATCACCTCTGAGGTCTGTGAGTGATGGCCTCACTCCCTCTCTCTGCCCCCAAAACCTTTATCCAGCAGCATTGAGAGTGGGGTAGCTCTGCGAAAGGGGACAGCTTAGTCTGCTTTAGCAGAGGCTCTGATACAGCCCTGGTCCCTGGTACCTGATGCAGCATGCCAGTCATATTAGATTTGCACATCAGCTCTGCAAAGTGAGCCTCTTATATGCTCGCCTGTCTTATTTTTTAGCTTAATTGGGGGAGGGGGGACCTAAAACTTATGGAAAATTTTTATAAAGCATTTCTCTATCCCTTTACATAGAAGGCTCCATGCGTTCTTCAGAGCAAAGACATCAGATTCTAATCGCATGTCTCTCTCCATCTGAAACAGTTGCTCATTCTTTCCTTGACTTTTGTGACCTTGAAGATTACAAGCCAGTTATTTTGGAGAAGTCCTTCAATTAGAGGGTGTCTGGTGTGTCCTGGGGCTTCCACCCAGGTTGTGTATTTGGGACTGGAATGCCATAGAAGTGCAGCCGTGCTCTCCCAGTGCACCCCAGTGGTGGCACACGATGTGTACTCTACCTGGTGCAGGCGGGTTGACTTTGATCACTTGATTAGGGTGGAATCTGCCCGGTTTCTCCACTATAAAATTATTTCTTCTTCCTTTGTCATTACTATTTTCTGGAGAGATACTTTTTTTTTTTTCCTTATTGATTAAGGTATTACATATGTGTCCTTATCCCCTCATTGCCCCCCCACCCCATTCCATTCATGCCCTCACGTCCTGGTGTCTGTGTCCATTGGTTATGCTTATATGCATGTATACAAGTCCTTTGGTTGATCTAGCCAGTTTGCCTCAGTGGAGAGATACTTAAGAGACATGAGGAAATCTCTCATATTGCCCTCCTTTGTTAGCATCCATTAATGTTTTCTTGCTTGAATTAATTATTACTCTGATGATGACCACATGGAGATTTTCTGCCCCATTTTTGCCCCAACATTTATTAGTTGGCATTCTACTATAAGGAGCAGCTTTCTTTTCCCCACTTTACTTAGTCATTTGTGTTGATATGGATTTATGAATTCCTGTTTTAGTCAGTGGGTTGCAATTTGTTATTAGTTTTTATTTTAATATTCAGATTTTATTTTGATCATCAGTTATTTTAATTGTTCCCGATTTGGCCAATGAGCCCCATCAAGCCAGGTTCCTGTGTCCTTTTCCCAGGTCCCTGTCATTCTTTTAAGCACTTTCTTTACTTTCTGTCATAACAAGAGGTTATCATCATTAACAAGACTCATCATCTTTCCCCTTTTCTCGAAGGAGTCCTAGTTCTTAATGGAGCATGGTCTCAAGAAACCAAGATCTGGGTGCTCCATGTGTTCACCACCATTTGGGCTGTCACTGCTCTCAGGACCTCTCAGTGCCCAGAGCTGGGAACACACACACACACACAACTAGGAACATATACACATATACCTATATGCATATATATGCTTACATTTACATATATTTCTACATCTCTATCTGGATACTTCCAATTCATTGCCAACAGGATTCATCTTAACCTCCCCCTCTGTATATCTACCTCTCTTTTCTAAGAAACCTGACTCCCTCTGTCCTTAATACATTTATTTACTCATTGCTCCATTCCCCCATATGTGATCAAGCACTCTTCCCCCCCTGCACCAACACTGCCCTTATACACCCCAGCCCTCATCAGGCTGCTTTCTCTTGGATTCTTTCCAACCCCTGGTGTATATCAGGTTGAATTCTGATATATTTTCCTGTTAAATCTGGGCCTCCCTGGATGGAGAACATTACTTCCTCAGAAGTCACTCAAGATCTTCCTGAGGCAGGGCACAATGTACCCTCAAAGGAGCCTGCTTGCTTCAGACATGATTTGGAAGAGGAAAGAGGCTGCCCCAGAGGGAAGTCCTCTTCTGCCAGGGAGTTCACAGAAGGGGATGCATGTGCCCTTAAGAAGACACCAGTGTAGCCACCTGTGTGTAGTGGCGCTCTGGCCTCCAAGCAATGCCTCTTCATTGTACCCTGACCATCTTGCAGGAGGCCATGAGAAGAGATCATATTTGTTTTAGTGAAGATGGGGCTGCAGCAGGGCCTCCAGGGTTTGACTGCCCTGTAAGCACACCACCCTCCTGCTTTGGCCCCTTCAGAAGTGTGGTACACCTTGTCTATCTGTCCATCAGTTTACTGCAGCATTCAGCATAGATTTCCTGTGCATCTTCAGGGTTAGCCTGGCACCAGATACAAAGTTAGTGAATGTTCACTGGCAGTAATTTCTGGGCCCACTGCCCACACTGATTGGCATAGGTCAGCCCCACGGGTCAGTGGCTGTTAGCATTGGCTCTGCACAGGGCTTAGTGGTCGCCATCAATGTGTAGCCACAGTATGAGCATTGCAGAGCCAGCTCTAAGAGCTTTAGAATTTTTTAAATTGTGAATTTCATCTCAATTTTTTAGTTTTATATTGCCAATCGTCTTCTGAATAACCCTAAGCTTTGGAAATGTAATTCAGTATTTTCCTTCTAAAAAGGAACATCTGGCAGCATGTCTTCCCCTGCATCCTGTTTTGTCTGATTTCCCGAGTGTGGTTTTTATGACCCACAGCTCTCTTATGGGAGAGACACCACCCCACTAACACAGGCTTTAGAAGCCTGGCAGGCTCCAGTCCTTTTTACTAACTAGCAGTGAGAGTTTCTGTAATCCTATTTTTGCCCAAGGAGAGCAGTTTGGCTCACCAACATGTCGACAACAGGAAGAGGGCCCTTCTGTTTTACTCAGAATTCTGATTTGATTTTGTTTCCTACCTGAAAGTGGTCTGACAAAGCATTTGTGATGTCATTTTAGTGTATAATTGGTTGGTTTTTAGTGTATCCATAGAGTTGTGCAACTGTCACTGTAATTTTAGAACATTTTAATCACCCCCCAAAAGAAGTCCCATATCCTTTAGCAGTCATTCCTCATTCTGTCTTTCCCAGCCCCTGGCAACCATGAATCCACTTTCTGTCTCTGGATTTGTGTGACCTTTTGAGGTATCTTTTAAGTCTTTACTTTCTTCCAACAATATGGAATTGTTTTCTTGACTTCATTTTGGGTTGTTTGTTGCCAGTGTATAGAAACACACTGATTTCTGTATGATTATCTTGTGCCCTGAAATCTGGCAAGGGTTTTTCCCGATATGTTGGACCTTAGCACAAAAGCAAGGCTGCCTCTGGTGGCCTAAAATGCTGCTGTCCCTCTGCTTCTCCAGATACAGACCTGGCCTGTTGGAGTCACAAAGCTTTTTATGCTGATCCTTACCGCCAAGGATTGCATTAAACTGTCTCTTCCACCCCAACCCCGTATGAGATGGGCAAAGTCACCAAGATGCATTGATTAAGGGATCTGTGGACGTGTGGCTAAGCAGAAACCAGGTTTTGAATATCCCAAGAGCCCCTGTATTTGTCAACCTGAACTCAAGTCCTGGGGGAGGCCCCGCCTCCTCACATGTGGCCAGGACAAAAAACCCTGCTTCCTTCTTCCAGGCCTTCCGGTGCTCTCATTAAGCAATGAGACAAAGCTCTCCAGGCATGTCTAGAAAGAGAGCAAGTCCACTATGTGCCACTCTTGATCTCTTGCCAAAGAAAACATGTCTCATTTCCCACACATCTGTTGGTAGTACAAAGAGCTCTCCTGACAAGTGCTCTAGGAAAGAGAAATGCATCTCTGGAAACCTTTATTCGGTGGCCCTGTGACATTCTCCAGGGCCTGCAAGTACAGCATGGCTTCCAAGGTCCTGGCAAAGTCCAGCCTGGCACTCACCTTCTGGATGGAAGGGCTCCTTGGTGGAGTGGTCACCCTCACTTCTGTCTTGCATCTTTGACACCCTCTGGTCTTCCATTCGCTGTACTTTGCCCCGAGCCGCACTTCCTGCAATCCCCTGCCTCCTCACCCAGGCTGCCGTACAGCCTTGGTGGTTGGATAGGACTTCTGCATTTCTGTTTCAGTTTGACATCATTCCCCTTGTTCTCTAGGCCCCTGGCTACTGAGGCCCAGTCAACAACCCTCTCCTGCCCCTGCTCCCTCCCAGCCTCACCACCCCACTCTAGGAAGGCTTTTTTGGTTTTTTTTGTTTTGTTTTGTTTTGTTTTGTTTTTGTTGTTTTTTTTTTGTTTGTTTGTTTTTTATCTTTTGTCTTGTGCTTGTAGAGGAAAAGAGCAGTGGGTTCCGGTTGAAGCCACCAACACTGATCCATGGCCAGGCACCCAGTGCAGGTAGGTGCCCACGTTGGAGGAGGAGAGGAGAGTGGCTTTCTCATACCCTTCCAGGCTTCTGCACAGCTGCCTAAGGCAACCCACCAGTGCACTCTGGGCTGGTACCTGACACCTGAGCTATGGAAAAACACTATAAAGAGCCTGTCAGACCAGGGAGCTTCTCTACCCTGAAGTGGAGGTGACAAGGGAACAAGCTTGGGTTGGTATGGGAGTTTGGGCTCTGTGCCCAGTAATAGCTCAGTTGGTTCCAGCTGTCTTTCCAGAGCATTCTAGCCCCAGCACGCCATATCGTTAACCCTAATTTGCAGAGTGGCCTCAATTCAATAGCACACTGTTCGTGAGCAAGGCCAAGTGATGGCGCTCTGGAGACCTGTCAGGTCCAAAGGGAGCCCAAGCAGGGCCAAAAATGTTTTCTCATGGTCCTTGCCCTAGTTGTATTTGGCCAGAGGTGTTTTCTCAATGTGGCATTTTTAAAAAGCAGGTGCTGCCCTAACTGGTTTGGCTCAGTGGATAGAGTGTCAGCCTGGGGACTGAAAGGTCCCAGGTTTGATTCCGGTCAAGGGCACAGGCCCAAGTTACAGGCTCAATCCCCAAATAGGGGGCGTGCAGGAGGCAGGCAATCAATGATTCATCATTGATGTTTCTATCCCTCTCTTGCTCTCCTTTCCTCTCTGAAATCAATAAAAATATATTTTAAAAAATAAAAAGCAGGTGCAGAGGGTGCCTTTCTGTGATCCCAAGCAGCAGCCTAAATTCTGGGGGATTGCCTGTGGCTTTGCTGCTTTCCCCTCAAGTCTGTGCTTGACCCTTGAGCCCAGCACTTGAGAACCCGAAGCATTAGAGTACTCACTGGGTTAATTCACAGACATGATCAGTTACATGGAAATGTCATTTAATCACATCTAAAAATAGCAATAGCCAAACTCTGTATGTTTAGCTGTAAAGAAAGTGTCTTGGGTTTGTTTTTTTAATGTGCTTCCCTCCTGGCCGCTGTGCTCAGTGGTTGAGCATGGACCCATGAACCAAGAAGTTGCAGTTTGATTCTGGTCATGGCACATGCCCGGGTTGTGGGATCAATCCCCAGTAGGGGGCATGCAGAAGGCAGCTAATCAATGATTCTCTCTCATCATTGATGTTTATATCTCTCTCTCCCTCTCCCTCCTCTCTCTAAAATCAATAAAAACATTTTCTAAAAAAAAAAACCAAAACACAGATGTGCTTCCCTACAGAGTCTAGTCTGTGAGGAACATGAAATGGATTGCTGGATTTAATTTGTCTGTAAAGTGCCTGAGAGCCTGAGCTGTTGCATTTCTGCCCACGAGGTCCAAGGGCGCTGGGCAAACCGACCTCTGTTCCCAGGTCTGCCAAGCCAGAAGCCCAAGGAGCAGCAGCGGAGCGTGCTTCGCCCGGCAGTGTTACAAGCCCCACAGCCAAAGGCACTCTCACAGGCCGGTAAGAAACGCAGCCCTGGTACAGGCTGGCATGGCAGAGTAGATTATTACAGAAGTCGCTTCTGGGACAGCCATGTCATATCTGCCAAATACACAAAGAAATAAAGTGCTGGGAAAGCAGCCCTTTATATTCCTGGTGAGCCTAGTAAAGACATGAGGCCAAGCCTGACTGCTGGTGCAAATGTGCCTTGTGCACGCCCTGGCCTTGTAAATGCTGCCTCCACTTCCTGAGCGGTTCAGATTCGTCCCTACACGTTTGCAGGCAGAACTCAGCCCTGCAGTCTCAGAAACTCAAAGGGTAACTTTCACATGTTTTCATTTTACTTGCAAACCTTGAGACATGACTCTTAAACCATATTTTCATTACATCCACATAGGCAGTGGTTTTCAGTTAATCTTTAATTTTCTTCATGTGAATGAGCTCTTGTCTTCCTCTTGATCTTTCCCTATAATTCGAGAATTCTTCATCAGAAGCCACGCAACATCCCACATGAGGGAAATAGTAACATTTCTGAAGAGTTTTTAATTACTTGGGAAGTTTTTTTATGTAATACTCAACAGTCAAAGCTAGATTTGAAGTTGTGCGTGTCATGTAATCTCAGCTATTTAAAGGAAAAATGCATAGAATGAAGATATCATTTGTAAAACTTGTTTTGTAAAACTCATAATTGTTCCCCCAATATTTGTTCTTTTAATCTAAGAGTTTGTTGCTTTTAGTGGAGCTACTAGACCCTTTCTTATAAAAGGAGAAATTATATACTGTTGGTCCAAATGGTGGCAGAAGAAAGCATTAGAGGTGGTCTAGCACTAACTCCACGATTCTCACTCTGTTGGTTTGTCCCCACAGTTCCAAGCAGCGGCACCAATGGGCTCAGCATCCCAGCAGACTGCACAGGAACAGCAACATCGACATTGACATCGCCTGACAACCCCACACAGAGAAGTCCACCTGATGAGGCGCCAGCACCTGAGGTCCGTCTGTGCCAGGGCAGGGAGCACACCTCACAGGAGACTTCTCAGGCTTTGCCGAGCACACAGACTGTTACCTGCTCTGAGCAATGCCAGTTTGTTCTGTGTTCAAGCTTTCTGGGTTTGCTCAGCAGTATCAGTGCTGACGAATGCCAAGAGAGAGGAGGGGTGTCTTCATGGTTCTGAGAGAAAGATGCTGTGAGCAAAGCTCTGCTATGGAGTCCTGTGTTGCCCGAATCCAGCATGTCATTTCCACATGTCCTGGGGCAGCGTTTCTGCTAGTTGGCACACTAACCTTTGAGCCTTGGGGAGCCACTGGGACCGGAGGGATGGCTTTCATTAATGAGATCCTTGCACCATTTTGTGGGGACAAATGTCTTCCCTCCCTGTTTCCATACCCCAGCAACTCTGGGGATTCGTACACGTGTGCTCTTTTAAATGCCTGGGGAGTCAGCTCAGAAATTGTTTGTTTTTAAAAGACATCCTTTATGGTTCTGGAATTATATAGGCCAGTAGCATCTGTTTTCCAGTAGTGCTGCAGAGCAGCTGGGAAACGGGCATTTCATGAAGCACCTGCTCTTGGGGTTGACAGAGACAGATTTGGAATCCAAATTGCAATACTGCACCCTGCCTCAGACACAAGCCAGACTGCGTCTGTGTGCCTTTGCCCTCGGCCACTTCAGCAGATAAGTTGCTGCCAGAGGTTCTCTATCCTCTGCCTCCCTCACCCTCACCCCCCATAGGTGTTCAGGCTCAAATGGTGAAAATGATCATCTACAATTCTATTTTGAAACATCTATGAGGTCCCCCCACCTTCAACCCAGTTCATGGAATTGGAAATAGAAATTGTTTTTGTAACATATGCTTCATGGAACTTTGGTAGCTGGGTCTCAGGGCAGGCAGCTGCACATCTCTGCACCAGAGGGAGACCAAAAGTGACCCACTGTCCTGTCCTCCCCATGTTCCTGGCTGCCTCACTCTTCCGATTGGTTGTAGCCCCTCCTCAGATGTTCCTCAGCCCAGGGACCCTCGTCAATGGACATGCAGTTTTGCTATAAGATGATTCAGCTTGCTCATCAGGGCTAATGTGTCCCTTCTTTTCAGTTGTCGTTGTTCTGTTTAACTAGGAGAAAGAGCCCCAGAAAAATGAGTCTAGCAGTACTTCTGAGGAGGACAGCTGTGAGAAAAAAGAGCAAGTTGCACAGCAAGCGTTTGTATTTGGGCAGAACTTGAGGGACAGAGTTAAGGTATGTACTCAGAGGGCTGGGGGAGCTGTTGAACTCAGGGATTGATCTCTGTATGCCTCTCGCCAGGTTCGAGAACAGGAATTGTTTCTGAAGGGTGGGGCAGACACAGAGGCTGTGTTGTGAAGTGGTCCTGTGACTCTCAGCACGGCCGGCAGCTGCTTGTTGTGCATGTTTCCCATACTCTGCTGCTCAGCCACCCAGGCTGCCTGCCATCCCTCCATCCTCAGTGGGACTCAGCGGTGGCTCTTGGCTATAGGGGACAAAGGGACAACCAGTGCAAGGTTTTTGTTTTCTTCAGGGTTTTTTATCTCAACACTAGCAGCGTTCAGACCAGATTGTGCTTAGTTATTGGAAGCATGACCTACTCACCACTGTGGGTTGTTGAGTAGCATCCCTGGTCCCCACCCTCTAGATACCAGGCGTATACCCTCTCAGTTGTGACAACCACACATGCCCCCAAGTAGTGCTGAATGTTCCCCACGGGATCAGATTGCTCCCGACAGAACCATCATCTTATTTTCAAAAGTAGGGCAGGTGGAAAGATTGTTCTCTCTCCCACAGGAGCAACACCATCTGCCACCTCGGGTGGGTCCTGCCCCCAGGCAGGTGGGTCCAGTCTGGGGACTGAGTTGGGGTGGGGGCATCTGGCAGTGGCAGGGGCCTCAGCTCTGCACGCTCTGTGCGAGCACTCCAGAAAGACTAGAGTGAGCAGCACTACGTTTTGCAGCCACAGATACGGAATGTTCTTCTGTGCCATTTCCAGCAGCTCACCTGGCAGGAATCTCCTTTAGAGGACTGAGAGGCAGTGTCAGTGCCATGTCTGGGGACATCTGTGGTTGTCACACTAGGGGGTAGGTACTCCTGGCATCGAGTGGGTAGGGGCCGGGGATGCTGCTCAATACCCCACAGTGCCCAGGACGATCCAGCCCCAATGTCAGTGATGCTGAGGATGAGAGACTCAGAAATAAGGAAACAAAAGTCACCACATAGAAAACATGCCACCTGTGTTCTCCTGTGATGTCACTGTCCAAGAGAAGCACAGATGCCCCAGGAGACAAAAATAAGTGTTGATGTCGCATGACTTTAGCCAAATAATGCGTTCCTTGGGGACTGCTCCCTCCAGGAAGAGGAAAGTGAAGGAACAGCCTTGAAATCTACCAGCCCTGGGGGCGGTATCTGGCCATCCATCTAGTTGAGTCTGCTCCTCAAGTTCAGGGCAATGCTACCTTGACATGGGGGCAGGGGCAGTGTCTCCTAGAGACCCAGGGCTCATGTGGTCTCTGAGGTCTTGGTCACATCCCACCTTCTCCACAGAGGGTGACTCCAGTCCATGGTCTCCTAGCTCCTCTGACTGAGCTCAAGCTTCCTCGCTCACAGGACCAAGTCCATCCTTCCACCCCTCAGGGTACCCAGGAGTAGTGCGTTAGGTCACATATATGATGGAGCAGACAGGACAGCTGGCATCAATGAAGCCCTCAAACAACAGTGCTTTATGCTCTTAATAAACCCCTTAAAACACCAGATTTATAAGTGTTCTATGATCTCGGAACAGAAGTGATGAAAATGCTAACAAGATGCCAACCTGAGTGCATTTTTTATTTTATTTTTTTTAAACAAGGTAGAAAAAGTCCACTAACATTTTATGAATTGTTTTTGTACCTTAACTGTTAAAAGCAAAAAGTTCTGGAATTGATTACAGCGCCAGCACTCAGTGCTCACACACAAACCCCTGCGTGCACACTGGTAGGATTTGCATGTTGAGCTGTGCCACACGGCAGAGGGATTGTGCAGCCAGGCCAAGCTGTAGAGGTCCAGAATGTGTGTGCTCTGAGTATAGTGTTTCTGTTTCCCAGTTAATAAATGAAAACACTGAAGCAGCTGACATGGAAAATGCCGGACACCTCAGTTCAGAAACACCAACCGCGACCAACTATTTTCTTCAATATATCAGCTCCAGGTATGTGTGTGAGGCCCTGTGTCCAGCCTCAGAGGCACTCAGGTCATTCATCCACCTTGTCTGTGGCCCAGAGAGGAGGCAGAACCCAGACCAGGAGCCAGCCTGGTCCTTCCCTGGGGGGCAGGATGGAGGGGAGGGAGCAGAATCCTCCAGAATTCCAGTTGCTCCCTAGTCCCTTCCTTCTTTCCCACTTGGCACAGCTGTGGAAGGGCCAGGACAGTGGACTTTGATGGACAACTTTGAGGCAGGACCTGAGTTCTGTGGGGTTGTCCAGCCCAGCTCTCAGAGTGACTTCTATCACCAGGACCTTGTGCCCAGAACAGAACCCAGTGGGCCGGTGGCAGCTCAGCTGCCTCTTATTACCCATCAGGTTCTGCCCCTGAATTCACAGTCCATCTTCTCTTCAGTTTAGAGAACTCGACCAATAGTGCCGATGCCACCAGCAACAAATTTGTATTTGGCCAGAACATGAGTGAGCGCGTATTGGTGAGTGGCCCCTATGGGGACTGTTCTTCCTGGGGCCCAGAAGGTTTTTAGAACTCCCCAGCCCAGGTCAAAGGGATGTGAGTGTGGCTGCCGCGTTGTCTCTTGGAAAATTAGGATGATTTCAGTTGCAAGTAAGAAAGAAGACTCAGCTTAAAGTCAGAGGCAGGGTTATTTGCTCTCCAGGAGCCAGTGTTCCATTTCCAGTCTTTCCTCATTCTAAGACAGGTTTCCTGAGGCATAGGCCATGCTTTCCTGGTGAAGTCTGGCTACAGGTACAGCCATCAGACCAGTCCTTAGCTGCATGCTGCTGGGGCCCCCCAGAGCCACTTCTGGAGCCAACGATGGTCCTCCCACCTGCCAATGAGACTGCGGCACAAAGGGGGGAGGGGGGGCAGTTGTGGTGGCCTCAGAGGGACCCTGTGTCCCATGTACTCCCGACACATCACAGCCAGGGTTGGGTTCTGGAATTGTTTACATGCTTCCTTTCTTCATCCCTTTTTTCCCCTGATCAAATGGGCACAGCCGCTCTGTGTCCATTGTCAGTGTGGCTACAGAGCTGTTTTGGGTCCAACCAATTCTGTCCATGTTTGTCTCAGAATACATTACATTAAAAAGCCCTCTGCTTTTTTCTCAAGCATCAGTACTGTCCATTTCCTGCTAAAATGAAATGGTCAAAGAACTACCTCACACAGAGGTGAACTCTGCAGCCCAAAGTAATGTCAGCTGGCGGCACACGCCTCCCGGCAGTGCCATGAGAGGCCCCATTGGGGGGCTCCAAGGGCAGTTCATGCATGATGCCCCTTTTGTGTTAGGTTTTAACACCAAATGATGCTTGAAGATTGTTGTGTGGTTTTGGGGATGGGGGTGTGGTGAGTATGGCTGGGACATAGCCCATGGGGAAGGGCTATGTAGTCTGTCTGCCAGGTCTGGGAGGGTCCCCAAAGCTGCAGAGGAGGAGCTGTGGGCAGAAAGCAGCCCTCTACCCAGCAGGGAAGTTCTGAGAGCTGCTGCCGGGCCAAGGGACTTACTGTTCCATAGTGGTTGACCCGGCCCACCAGGATCGCCCAAATGCCTTTCCCATGTGCCTTTGTTTCCCTGCAGAGTCCACCCAAATTAAATGAGGTCACTTCAGATGCCAACAGGGAGAACTCAGCTGTCGAGTCTGGGTCCGAGTCTTCATCCCAGGAGGCCACCCCTGAGAAAGGTACATCGCAACACTACTGCCTCATAGGAGGGGGTACCAAGTGAGAGGACACTGTCCATCCACGCACCAGCCAGGGAGGGATGTGGGGATCAACTCAACATAGCAGTAATAACCTCATGAACCAGCCACTGGGACAGAGCCAGAAAGCCACGGGCACTGGTTTTCAGTGAACAAAAAAGGGGACATGTTCATCTATAAACAGTTAGGCCCAGGCCCGTGGTGCTATATGGTGACTTGGGGGGTAGGGTGGTTGAGATGGTTGTAGCCCTCTCCCTTCACACCCTGAAGCAGCAGAGGCAGTTTTCTTCCGTGCCCTCTTTGAGGTCTGCCCCCTACTGAATGGGAAATGGGAAACCCATAGCCATGCCAGCAGCTCCCAGCTGGCCTCCCTTACAGATCCCGAGGCTGAACTACTTGGCATATTTTGAGGTTCACTCCATGTCCCATGGGTAGCTGGTACCCTTGAGACCAAGCCAACCCTTTGCCTCCTGTGCAGTACACTCTCCCCCAACCAAGTAAATAGTAGTCAGTGTCATTTAGCTAATAACATTGCAGAGTCCCTGGCCGAATCGGCAGCCGCCTACACCAAGGCAACAGCGCGGAAGTGTTTGTTGGAAAAAGTGGAAGTTATCACCGGGGAGGAGGCAGAGAGCAACGTGTTACAGGTAAGGTGGGCCTCTTGGCCCTTAGGTGGAATGTGATGGCCTGAAGCTTCTTTGTGCATTTGAGGGTCCAGCCCCCAAGGGGTCAACCCACATTCTCCAAGCACATCGGGGAGAGACTTTACCTGGAAGTGACAGAGAGGCCTGAGTACCACCTTTAGGATCTTGTTGGTGGGGCTTTTGTTGAAAGTTTAACCAACTCTAAGGGTCTTCTTATATTGCTTTGTTTTACAACGAAAGAATTCTGTTTTGAAACATTCTCATAGTTTAGGGCAGTGGTCGGCAAACTGCGGCTCGCGAGCCACATGCGGCTCTTTGGCCCCTTGAGTGTGGCTCTTCCACAAAATACCGACTTCTGCGCATGGGCCACAAAGTTTTAATCGCAATGTACGTGCGTGCCCGCACATGGTATTTTGTGGAAGAACCACACTCAAGGGGCCAAAGAGCCGCATGTGGCTCGCGAGTCGCAGTTTGCCGACCACTGGTTTAGGGAATTACACGACTGTTATAACTTCTCTTACTATCCAGAGTTATAGCTGTGGTTATTTTGTCACACTGGCACCTTTTCTTGTCTTATTAGAGGGAAAAAAATCACAGATGCAGCCCAAACTTCACCCTACTCTTTCCCTGTCAGCATTTTCCTTCCTAGTCTGGGGCAACATGTCCAGGTCTCTGTGCCTGTTTATCTGCTTTTCACACATATGTATGTGTCTATAAACTATACATATATAGTATGGAGAGGGTTTTAATGCAGGTTTTAGTGGTACTTCTTTCCCACTCAACTTTGTTTTTTTAATCTATCCATGTTAAGAGATATTGACATGATGATCTGCAAACTTTTTCTGTAAAGAATCACTTATGGTCCCTGTTGATAGCCTTTTTTTTTTTTTTAAATATATTTTATTTTATTTTTTTAATATATTTTATTGATTTTTTTACAGAGAGGAAGGGAGAGAGATAGAGAGTTAGAAACATCGGTGAGAGAGAAACATCGATCAGCTGCCTCCTGCACATCTCCTACTAGGGATGTGCCTGCAACCCAGGTACATGCCCTTGACCGGAATCGAACCTGGGACCCTTCAGTCCGCAGGCCAACGCTCTATCCACTGAGCCAAACCGGTTTCGGCCAGCCTTTTTTAATATAACAGCTTTATTGAGATGTAGTGCACACACAAAGAAATTTACCCTTTTAAAGCATAGTTTGGTGGTGTTTAGTATATTGACACAGATGTGCAACTGTCACTATTACCTAATTTAGAACCTTTTTGTCCTCCAAAAAGAAACTTTGTGCCCATTAGCATCACCCCCCATTCCTCTCCCTCACCCCCAGGCAATCACGAATCCACTTCCTGTCTCTGGAGTTGCCTATACTGGGCATTTCACATAAATGAAATCACATACTTTGTGGCCTTTTGTGTCTGGCTGCTCTCACTGAGCATCATGTATTCAAGGTCCATCCATTGTTATAGTGTGTGTCAGTGCTTCACTCCTTTTCATAGCTCAATAATATTCCATTGTGTTGAAGGACATTTAGGTAGTTTCCACTTTTTAACTATTATAGAATTCTGCTGCTATGAACATTTGTGTGAAAGTTCTTGTGTGAAACCTATTTCATTCCTCTTGGGTGGATATTTAGAAGTGGCATTGCTGGGCCATGTAGTCACTTCATGTTTAACTTTTTTTCTGTGTTTTTAAATATGAGAAAAACATCGATGAGAGAGAACCATCTATTGGCTGCCTCCAACATGCCCCCTACTGGGGATCAAGCCCACAACCTGGGCATGTGCCCTGATGGGGAATAGAACCAGCGACTTCTCAGTGCATGGGACAATTCTCAACCAACTGAGCCACACTAGCCAGGGCAACCTTTTTTTTTTAATCCTCATCCAAGGAAATTTTTCATTGATTTTTTTTTTTTTTTTAGAGAGAAGGAAAGGAAGAAGGAGAGAGAAATATCAATGTGAGAAAGAAGGTTGCCTCCTGCACACACCCCAACTGGGGATCAAGCCCGCAACCTAGTCATGTGCCCTGACCAGGAATCGAACCCGTGACCTTTCAGTGTATGAAATGATGTTCCAGCCAACTGAGCCACACTGCCCCAGGGCCATATTTAGGGAACTGTATGAGACTTCTGGTTTCTCCACATCCTCTCCAGTGCCTGTTATTATCTGTCTTTTTGGTTGTAGCCATCCTAGTGGGTATGAAGTGATATCTCGTGGTTTTGATTTTCATTTCCTTAATTTTTTAAATATCCCTCTAAAAGTATAAAATCCACTTTAGTTTGAAGGCAGAATAGAAAACTGGCCATAGGTCAGATGTGGGCCCGTAGCTTGTTGACCCTGGTAGTACATGAGAAATAAATGGAGGCTCCCAGGTATTCTCTCCCCCCCCCCTCCCCCCCCATAGTGGCATCTACCCAGCTAGGGTCCCTTGCTCACCCAGAGGGCTGCCCTGTGTTCCAGATCCAGTGTAAGCTGTTTGTCTTTGACAAGACCTCGCAGTCTTGGGTGGAGAGAGGCCGGGGACTGCTGAGACTCAACGACATGGCATCGGCTGACGATGGGACATTACAGTCCCGACTAGGTGAGCTGTGGGAGGGCCTGGATTGGTGCAGAGTTCCCAAGGCAGTAAAGGGCAAGGTCCCAGCTTGGCCCCAAGGAGCAGGGGAGCAGATCCTCACGGGAGAGCCCAGGTACCCACACCCTGAGGCCTGACCCAGAGGATCCAGCTGCCATCCCTTCCATGACTTCCCTCTTTCTGAGTGAAAGTGAGATAAAAGCATTTAGCAATTTTTAAACTTGTTTTCTGATCATGAAAGTGTCAATTGTTTTATGGTAGGATGGAAGAAGAAAAAAATCAACTGCAGTCTCTTGATAAAGAGAAATCTCTGCTAATAACATGTTGGTCCACTCCTGTTCTGTGGGTTTTTCCTTAAGGAAATGGGGCAATTTTATGTTCTGTTCTTTTCACTCACTATTTTGTGAACATGTTCCTGTGTCATTAAATTTTCCTTAAAAACATGACTTTGGGAAAACTAATATATTCTGTTGAAAAATGAATGTATGTCACCATTTCCCTATTGATGGACATGTAGTTTGTCCCTAATTTTTCTGAGTATCATAAATGGTGTTCCTGGGCTGTCTACACATGACTCGTATTCCCAGAAGTATGTTGATTACAAAAATGGATTGGGGGGGTGTATACACATACATATATGCATGTTTGAAGAGAATCAGCATGTTCATTTATCTATGTTGTGAAATATGTATGTTCACTTTTTTTGTTGTCTTCCCACACAAAAATTGCCCTCCAGCCTTTACAGAAACAGCTGTTCATGACCCAGTAGGAGCTTACGTTGCATCCTTTCAGAATTGTCTCCAAGATTGGAACAGGGATGAAAAGGGTCCTTCGGTTTGGGCACCGTTCTTTTTCCCCCATGGACGTCCCTCCATTCCTTTTTCATTTTTTCTTAGGAAAATGTTCACATGTATGTGGACAGAGAGAGCACAGTGTTTGCAGCCCCGCAGCTCATCACCCACCGCCTCAGGCGGCAGCATGGTTGCATTACGCCCTCCCCTCCCTCACTGAGATCCCTTTACTTTCACCCCACACAGCCTTTTACCTTGTCACAGACCTTCCCTCTGAGCCCATCTGAACTGCTCCACTGCCTCAAAGATGGGCACTTTGGGCTTGCGAGGCCAGGCTTAGAGGACACAAGGAGATTTGGTCAGTTGAGGCCCAGGACCCCACAGACCTCCCCAAGTTGGCCCAAGCTGCTCCCTGTCCTGTGTGGCCATCTGGATGGGATGACACCTTTTAGTCCTCACCAGGCCTGTTCTAATGGGGAGAGCTGGGCTGGCTGGCTGGCTGGGCTCTGACAAATTGGGCAGGCTGACTATGGCATTGGGTCTGCTGCAGGTAGACCTGGGGGTGTCACATGTACGTCCAGAGAGGAAAGGTCTGTGCCCAGTTTTTCTTTGCCATATGCTTCCTTCACTCTGTCTTTATCTCCTTCCTGTTGGAAGCTCTGAGCACAGGTTAGCCTCAGTCCTTTTTCTAAGGAAACCTCAGGGACTTGGCCTGTGAGTGGGGGACAGTGAAGAGGTCTTGACTTTTATGTGACATGTGTCACATAAAGTGTGAGTGTCAACGATTTCACTAAGCTTCTTCATGAAGTCACTTCTTTGCTGTTATTTTAGCAATAAAGTTAAACAGAAAGCGCCTCCCTAGTTCTCTTCAGCTCTGCACCCTTGGCGCCAGCCTGGGGCAGGATTGTCCAGGGGGTGGGCCGGGAGCGAGACCCACAAGCCACCTGGTGCACACAAGCCCCTCCGGGAAGCCCACTGCTGGTGTGAACTTCAGGGAGCGCTGGGCCCAGGCCCACAGTGCCACTGGGCAGAGGTGGCCTCGGAACCTGAAGAGCCTTGCAGAGTAGGGAGGGGTGTGTGGCGGGGGCGGAGGACAAAGTTAAATCAAGAAGCAGAAACTTGGAGACCACAGTTTTCCTAATTAAGGATGTAAAAGTGCTTTTGTTTTCAAAGGTTATTGTTGGTGAGATTAAAACAATTAATTGACACTAAAAAATAAAGAAGTGTGAGTGTCCCCTGTGTGCAGCCCACAAATGTCCCTATCTGGCCCCACCTCCCTACAGTTCTCCTCCTGCTTCTGCCTAATCACCCCCTTCCCCAAGGAAGCCCCCATCCTGGTACATGCTGGCCTCTGACCCCGCCAGTGGCATTGGTGGTTCTGGGCCCAGGAAGCCAGGTGGTGGTGCCAGGCCAGCCCCAGCATGTGTGGCTGTTGCTCAGTGGACAAGTGGGTGACTTTCCCGGACCTTGGGAGAGTCATGGGATTTCACTGTTGGGGTTTGCTTTCCTCCCAGGTTGTGTCTGTTCTAGCTGGTTGTTGGGCGGTGGGGTGGGAACCAGGGCTGAGTGGCCTTGTTGGTTGCAGTGATGCGGACCCAGGGTAGCCTGCGGCTGATCCTCAACACCAAGCTGTGGGCTCAGATGCAGATTGACAAGGCCAGTGAGAAGAGCATTCGCATCACAGCCATGGATACCGAGGACCAGGGCGTGAAGGTCTTCCTGATCTCGGTGAGCAGGCCCCCTGACAGGTTGGGCTGCCCAAACCCAAACAGCCCGCCTCCCTCAGTCCAGGGCAGCAACCCCGAGCTGCCACAGGAGGGAAGCTTCTTGGCACATGCTGGCAGTCACCACAGGGCCGGATCGAGAGGGCCCCTCTGCGGGAGCACTCAGCACTGCTCTGAGAGCATGGCCCTAGAGAGCAGGGAGGCCTCTATGTGGGCCCCATCCCCAAAATGAGACGCAGGAATGCCACTGTCACTTGAGGGCTGACCCAACCACAGGCTCTGGGAGCACTTGGAGGGATGGGCCCTGGGCTATGGGAGCTTTGGGCTCTGAGCCAGGGAGCACTTTCCCCATGAAACCTCATAATCAGGACTTCCTCTGCCTCCCCCAGGCCAGCTCCAAGGACACGGGCCAGCTATATGCCGCCCTGCACCACCGCATCCTGGCCCTGCGCAGCCGCGTGGAGCAGGAACAGGAGACCAGAACACCTGCCCCCGAGCCTGGTGTGGCCCCATCCAATGAAGATGACAGTGACGATGACGACGTCCTAGCTCCGTCAGGGGCCACAGGAGGCGGTGAGCCAGCAGTCCCTGCCCTGGAGGGCACAAGGGGGCTGGTTTCCTAGATCCCCTCTCATCCATTGCCGTTGGCCCGAGGGTGACATCTTGGTGTGGAAGCCTGACCCCGGGGGCTGGGGTGCCTTCCAGAGTGGGGACCTGATGGCGAGGCCACTGCTTCCCACAGGCGCTGACAACGAAGGGGACGGGCAGACAGCTGGGAGCACATAGCGCCGGGAGCTGGCCACCCAGGAGCCTGCTGCTTTGTCCGTCTGTCCACCCACCCGCCCGCCCCTCTCCGGCTGCGTCGAGGTGCGGGCCCCGGGAACCACACTCCCCGCTGGGTTGGCCACAGTCCGGATCCGCAAGGCCCGTTCAGAAGCAGACTTGGGAGCTGCCTGAATGTGGTTTGGGACACGAGACCTCATCATATTGATGAGCAAAACAAAAAGAACATTTCTTCCCTCCCTCCTTTGAATTGAAATGGCACATTAAGACTTGTCACGGCTTCTCACTGGGACTGGGATGCCTGGTTTCTTCACCCCTCTCATGCCGCCGCCATACCTGTGGGTTTCTGCCACCTGCCCAGGCTACCAGGTCTGCTCCCACAAGTGTAAACACTGGCCCTGCTGGATATTCTGCTAACTACTATCTTTATCTCCCCTTCCCCACCTTCTGATTTGGGGTATATGTTTTTAGGTTTCTTTTCCCCCAAGGCGCTTTTTTTTTTTTTTTTTTTTTTTTGGTTTCTTAGATTAAGATGTTCCTGCGTATTGAGCAGGCACAGCTCCAGTGTCCTCGTTCTCCCTATGGTCATGGCTTGTGTGCTGGGGCCTTACTGGGGAGCTTGGGGTGCTCTGAAGGCTCCCACTTGTTCCCCACCTGGGGCTCCTCCAAGCTATGAAGGGGTGTTGAGGGGTAGGCCTCATACCTAGAGAGAGCTTATCTAGAAAAGGGTCACTGGATCTAGGAGGGTATGAGGGGGCTGGTTTCTTAGATCCCCTCTCATCCATTCCCGTTGCCCAGAGGGTGATGTCTTGGTGTGGAGACCTGGCCCTATTGGATGGGGTGCCTTCCAGAGTGGGGACCTGACAGTGAGGCCACTGCTTCCCACAGGAGCTGACAAAGAAGGGGATGTGCATAGCACCCCTCCCCTCTTGCTTGTCCCCATCACGTGGGTCACCCACCATCAGATACCCAGGCACACACCTGCTTTCTACTGTTGGCCATTCCTTGCCCAGCCCTGGATGTCACCATCCCCAAGACCATCCAGGGCCAGGGGCCTCCATAACAGGCAGATGGGGTCCCTAAGCAGGGCCTCTGAGGAGTGGCAGGGGACTGGTTCCAGACTACAGACTGCTGTCCCAACACTCACAGCACACACGGGAGCCGATGCTGTGCCCACCCCAGGGAAGGCCAAGACCCCAGGTGGGCGCCAACCCCCCTTGCAAAGAAGGTCCCTGTTCACAGGGCCCCGGGGGATTTTAGAAGAAATTATCCAGCCCACTCATAGGAAGAAGGCCTGGTCTCCATAGCTGTGCCACCCACACCTTGGGTTGACTATTTGCAGCCTGAGCCATGGGAAGACACCAAAGCCCTTCCCTTACCACCCCTCCTCCCACCCCCAGCAGATCTGGCTACATTTCTCTGCTTTAAGCCTTAGCCAACTAGTGACAAGTAAAACCAGATAATGCCCATGTGTTTTGGAACATTTATGTAAGATTGTCATATGAAATGTATTTGGGAACTACATTAAAACTTTTAACTAAACCCCTGGCCTCCAGTGTGCCCCAGGGGCCTCAGGAAGCCCGAGGGCCTGGCCAGGAGTGACCTCTGCCTCCCAAGGTAAGGCTCCTCCAGCAGCCTGGCCTGCCTGCTGCCCTGGGCCCCTACCCCACACTCCACGCCTTCCAACACCTGCCACTTCAGTGCAGAGCCTAGCTTCATAGAAGAGCCATTTGCTTCCCTCCCCACACCCATATCACATCCAGGGGCCTCCTGGCTTCCCAGGAACCATGAAGGAGGGACAGGATGGGAATTCTAACAGAGTCAAGGATTAACTGAGCAGAACAGGGTGACAGGTGGGGGTGGGCATCTACAGTGGCCTAATGCGGGGGGGGGGGGGGGGGGGGGCTCAGACCTGGTCCAACCAGTTCTGCAGCCTCAATCCTGCTTCCCTTCAGCCCCCAGCCCTGGGGCTACCCAGCTGGAAACTCGGGGGTAGGGGGGTGCCATGGTGGAGTCCTATGCTACAGTGGTGCCAGCTGAGTGCATGCTGCTCACAGTCGCCAGGCGCTGGTCATCATGGCCACAAACTCCTCATCCGTGTCCATGGAAGCGCTCACACCACTGTAATAGTCCTGGAATTCAGCCAGGGTGACCTGGGGGCAGACAGGTTCTAAGTAGGAATGGAAATCTAGGGCAGGAGGAGCTAGGGAGACCCCATAGGCACCTACCTGCCCGTCCTTCTCAGAGGAATCAAAGTTGTCCAGGAAGCGGCGGAGCACCTCCTCCTCAGTCCACTCCCCACTCTGCACCTTGGGGTGGGCGTGGCAGCTATACACCCCCCGAAGGTCATCCACGGTCACCACACCATCCCCACTGCGGTCCAGCTTGGAGAATGCAGCTGCAATGACCGCCTCCCGGGCCTGGGACATGGGGGGCTGAAGGAGGGCAAGTGATGACTAAGAGACTCCAACCCCTCCAGGCAGAGTGCAGGGGATCCCTGAGTCTCTTAGTGATGAATTCCTGGGTGTCTGGTGTTTGCTGACACAGGTAATCAATCCACTGAGAGCTCAGCACACTCCTTCCCCCCGCCAGACAGCTGGGTGAAGGGGCCTGCCCCCAGTCAGCCCAGCCTTACCCGGAGTGCCCTCAGGAACTCCTCCAGGTCCAGCGTCCCACTGCCGTCACGGTCCCATCGCCTGCACACACCCTCTGCCTCAGCCATGTCCAGCGCCAGCCCCAGCTTAGCCAAGCCCTGCTGAAGCTCCCTCGCATCCAGGGATCGGCTCCTGTCCTGGTCCAGGCGGCGGAAAAACCTAGGGGCAAGGGCTGCAATTGGAGAGTGATCCCTGGGACCAAGTGGTCAGGAACGGGTGAGGGGACAGCTCACCTGGCTAGGCCCTGGATGCCAGAGGCCCCTCGGGACAGGCACTGTTCCCGGAGCCTCTCCACAGTGGCGTCCACTGTATCCATGTTAGGTTCAGGCTCTCTGGGCAGCTGGATGAGATAGAGGTTAAGTGGGTTTCCTGCTCGGCTGGCCAGGCTACAAGCTGGGTGCCCCCTGCTCACTCACCTGGCCTTGTCTGCCCTGGAGTCCTCAGATGGCCACTTCACTGGCTCCTGCCTGGTTTGTCCTGTGTTGGCAGTGCGTTCTGCCCGGTAGGATTGTTGCTAAGGGACAGTGGCTCTGGAGACTGGGAGGGGCCCCAGCTGTAACCCTGACTGTGCCGAATGGCAGGGCCAGGAGGGACAGAGCAGTGCTGTCATTGGCAGCCCCATCTACCCATTGTGCTGCTCCCGACCCCCTACAATGCTCAGGCCTGGGATAGAGCCAGGCCCAGACCAGGGTGGGAGGTGGGTGTCTTTCTGACCACAATGAGGGGCAGGCCACAGGTCTGCAAGGACCCCTTGTTGTGGATGGAGTGATCCCTTGGTCCCAGGGATCACTCTCCAATTGCGGCCCTTGCCCAATTCCTATGTGACCTGAGGCAGAGCCCCTCTCCTCTCTGGACTTTACTGACCCCTATCCCTTTTCACAGGGCAGCAGCCAAAGCTGCTGAGGGGTTTGAGTTTAAAAGGGCTGGTGGCAGCCCAACCCATGTCCAATGGGAGGTCCTGAGACCAGTGCTAGCGGAGGCAGGGCACAGCAGAATTAAGTTGTACAAAGTTCCTGGTAGTTATTGAGAGGCCAGTCATGGTGTTTTTGTTTTATGGGTCTTTTGGTGGTTGGTTTTCAGTTCTCAGACATCACTTGGTGGGTTTGCTCGTGACAAGCTGGTGAGCCAGGAGGCTGCGGTACCAAATAGAGAAGTGGTCCTGACCCCTGACATAATCCAAGGGGAACCAAGGCCACCATCACAGAAGACCTTCGATCCAGATTTTGGACATCGTTGCCAACAGAGCATTACACCAACCAGGAGGATCCAAAAGAACATTGGGATTCCCAAGGACTTAAAATGTGGGCCCTCGCCCTGGCTGGTGTTTCTCTGTGGTTAGAGTCAGCCCACGAAACGAAGGGTCGCGGGTTCGATTACCTGTCAAGGGCACATGCCTGGGTTGCAGGTTCCATCCTGGCCCCAGTTGGGGCATGTACAGGGGGCAACCAATCGATGTGTCTCTCACATCGATATTTCTCTCCCCCTCCCTCCCTTCTCCTAAGAAAAAAAACTCAATGGAAAAAATATTCTCAAAGGTAGGATTAATAAAAAATAATGAGTCCCCCTTTGGGGACCTCCAGGCTTTGCTCTCGGCACAATGGTATGTGGTCAGGAATTCCTGACCCAGCGCTGCAATTCAAGCCACAGCTGATGTCACAGCTCAGTGGCTTGCTGCAGTCCGGCATTCTTTGGGCAGTCAAAGAAATACTGCATTGTGTTTTTTAATGAGTGTTGCATCGGTCTTTTCCCTATGGAAAACGCAGAGTCTAATCACAGTTAGTATAGTTCTGTTTGACATCTGTAAGAGAATCAGATTTCAACAGTAACTTTCAAAAATGGGTAGGGGTGGCTGCAAACAAAGATTAGACACTGTTGTGTGTGTAAAAGTGCCTGTGGTACAAGCTCCTGTGACTGCAACAAGCCCTCACCCAGCAGGGCCCCACCCTAGACCAGGAACCACACAGTGGCCACCTCTCCAGCCCCCCACACCTGGAAAAAATGAGGAAGGACCAGGCTGACAAATCACCTGTTTATTCTTGAGCTCACACAGGCCCTAGCCTGCCTTCCCTCATACAAACAGTCCCCTTTCTTATTCATCCAGAGGAGAAAATGGGGATATTGTTATATACCGAGGGGTCAGTGTTAGATGCCAGGCAGACAGCAGGCACCATCCTGAGGACGGGATGGGTGCCAACCTTTCTAACTGGAATAGGCCCTGCCCCACAGCAGTTCCCAGTATGACAGTTTCCTGAGTAAGGAGGTGGGAAACGGCGCAGGCTGGGCTGAAGAGCACAAGGTTCCCTGGTTTGATAAGCAAAACTCCCTGAATGGCTCTGGCCAAGAGGGCAGTGTAGAAAAAAGGAGTTAAAAAATAGATTCTCTAGGGACTATAAAAAAGGAACCAGCTGCTTACTACAGAAGCTAGACGAGGGGTTTTACCTGAAGTGCCGGGGACTCCCAACTCCCTTCAGGGCCCACAGACCCATCCTGTTCCTACAGGGGTATTAGTGTAGAACAAAAGCCCTGCCTTCATGCAGCTTACACTCTGATGGTAAGAGCTTCTATAAAGAAAAAATAGCCCTGGCAGGCTTGGCTCAGAGGATAGAGGCTCGGCCTGTGAACTAAAGGGTCCGGGTTTGATTCCAGTCAAGGGCACATGTCTAGGTTTCGGGCTTAATCCCTAATAGGGGGTGTGCATGAGGCACCCGATCAGTGATTCTCTCATCATTGATGTTTCTCTCCTCTCCCTCTTCCTTCCTCTCTGAAATCAATAAAAATATATTTTTAAAGAAAAAAGAAATGCAATAGTAATGGCAGGGGGAGGGGAGGAATTACTTCAGGTAGTCAGGGAAGGCCTTTCTGAGGTGAAATCTGAGCAAAGACCTAAGTGACAAGGAACCTGTCATGGGACACTGGGGGAAGAGCACTCTAGGCAGAGGGAGCGGCCAGTGTAAAGGCCTCGAGGCAGCACGTTATCAAGAAAAGGTTAAGGGAGGCCTGAGTTTTCTAGGACAGCACAGCCTGGCTGCCAGCATCGCACGTGCCCCACACGCACTGCCTTCTGAGTTAACGGTTGAGGGAAGGACAGAGTTGGGGGGGAGGAGGGATGTCTAGGATTTGTCTTCAAAATAATACAAAACAGCATGAAGCGTGAAGTTCTTAATTCTAGTCTGGGGGCCATGTGGCTCGACTAGAGCGTTGTCCCATGCACCAAAAAGTTGCGGGTTTAATTCCCCTCAGCACATACCTAGGTTGTGGGTTCGATCCCCAGTAGGGTGCGTACGGGAAAACCGATTGATGTTTTTCTCTCACATTGGTATTTTGCTGTCTCCCTTCTCCTCTCTCTAGAACATCAGTAGGTATGTCCTTGAGTTGGAAAATAATAAAAATAATTCTGGTTTGAGATGGAGTAAGAAAAAGCTCTATCCTGGGATGAAGGATGCTTCAGAATGAAAGAAAATCTGGACAGGGAAAAGAGGAGAAGAAACAATCTAATAATGTGGAACTTGATGCCATCTGCCTCCACCAGAGGTCTCAAACTCATGCTTCGGGGCCTGGACATCTGGCCCAAGAGAGGTGAAGGGGCCAATTAAAAAACTCACACTGTGGCTAACGAGGGTATTCTGGGTTCAGTTCCAGGCAGGCATGGGCAAGTCTAAAACCAGAAATCCAGGTTTTTGTGTGTAAATGTTGCCAATTTTTCAATAAGGATAACTGATTCAAGGTTTTGTTTTTAAAAAAATTGGGGCTAAACATTTTCATTTGCCTGCAGGCTGACCATTTGACTTTTTAGCAGGTCTGATGCTTGGAAAATACTATGGCTCTGCCATGGGGTTCCCCCCGGGACACTGGTGACACCCCCACCCTTGAGTACCCCCACAGCAGTGGAAAAGTCTCCACAGGCACCCTCTGTCTCCATTCTGGAATCTGTGCTCTGGGGCTCACACAGTGGTCCCAAACACTGCTGGCTGGAGGTGGTCCCTGTCCCCTTCCTCCTCAGTGTTGTTGGCAAGGAGCAAACTGGGCGCACCAAGGTCACTGGCTGGCAGGGGACCCAGGCGCTCGGCCTCAGCAAGGGCTGCCAGCAGCCCAACCAGGGGTGGTCGCTGGCGGCATATGTCCTGCAGCAGCTCGGCCCGGGGCTGCAGCTGCCTGATGAGCTTGTCCCTCTGGTGCACGGCCGCCTGCAGGCTGTGGACAGTGGCCTCGGAGGTCAGCAGCTGCTCCTGCAGTGCGGCGATCTCACTGGCAGGAAGATAGAACTCAGTAGTAACAGCACTGAAGGACCAGAAAGCAGATGCTCCTCTCCCTTCTGATCTCAGGCTCCCCACCATCAGGATAAAGGCCATATTCCTCACCACTGCCTCACGGCCTCCCCTTAAGAACTGAAAGGACTGAAAGGTTATGCCCTTCCCAAGTTCTTAAGTTGAATCCCTACATCCCAGTGTGATATTTGAAGGTGGGGGCCTTTGGAAGCTAAGGTTAGATGAGGTCATGAGGGTAGGATCCTCGTGATGGGATTAGTGCTCTTATAAGGAGAGACACCAGACAGCTCTCTCCCTCTCCTCTGTGAGGACACAACGAGATGACCAAGAAGTCCTCACCAGGAACTGAATTTGCCAGTACTTTGATCTTGGACTTTGCAGCCTCTAGAACAGTGATAAATGTCTATTGTTTAAGCCACCCAGCCTGAATAGACTCATGTCTCCTCCTAGCTCAGTGATGGTGAACCTATGACACGCGTGTCAGAGGTGACACGCGAACTCATTTTTTTGGTTGATTTTTCTTTGTTAAATGGCATTTATATAAAATAAATATCAAAAATATAAGTCTTTGTTTTACTATGGTTGCAAATATCAGAACATTTCTATATGTGACATGGCACCAGAGTTAAGTTAGGGTTTTTCAAAATGCTGACACGCTGAGCTCAAAAGGTTCTCCATCGCTGTCCTAGCTCTTCCTGCAGTTACCTCTTTCCCTCCATCTTTTCCTATTTGTTGTTCAGCTTAGTTGGCTCCTCCTCTAGGAAGCATTCCCTCTGCATCCCCTCAGAACCATGTGTGCACCTCCATCACAACCTCTGATCATCCCATGCTGTAACTACCTAGTGATGTGTCTGCCTAAGGGCAGAGCTGTGTAGATGTGCCCTAGTACCCAGCACGGTGTCTGGCACATAGTAGGTGGCTTAGTAAAGATGAATTAATCCATCCAGCCCTGAATTGTTTCTCACCTGGGCCCCAGGATCTCCCCTGTGCATTGTCTCATCCCTTTCAATTCTCAGGTGCTAGAGGGACTCTTCAAAAACTTCTGACAGTCCTAGCTGGTTTGGCTCAGTGGATAGAGCATGGGCCTGCAGACTGAAGGGTCCCGGGTTCAATTCTGGTTAAGGGCACATGCCCGGGTTGTGGGCTTGATCCCCAGTAGGGGGCGTGCAGGAGGCAGCCAATCAATGTTTCTATTCCTCCCTCTCCCTTCCTCTCTGAAATCAATAAAAATATATTTAAAAAAAAATCCTTCTGGTAGCTATAGCTGATTTGGCTCAGTGGATAGAGGATTGGCCCTTGGACTAACAGGTCCTGGGTTCGATTCCAGCCAAGGTCAAGGGCACATATCTTGGTTGCAGACTGGAGCCCCATTGGGGCACCTGTGGGAAGAAACCAGTCGATACGTCTCTCACATTGATGTTCCTCTCTGTCTCTCCCCCTTCCATTCTCTCTAAAAATAAATGGGAAAATATCCTCGGGTGAGGATTAGCAAAAAACAAAACACAAATTTCTGATAGATCACATCCTCTTCTGTTCAAGAACCTGCCATGGCTTCCAAAATCTGCTCAAAGAAGTCGGTGGACTCCGCACCATTCAGTACCAGCTGCTTTTACTTTGTGGGAAACTTTTAAGTTACAAACTCCACACACTTGTGTGACATTTCTTTACATGCTGATGGCTAAGTCAAATGTTTTGGTATTTGTTTTTTCAACCCCTCCGGTAGTACAGCCTCCAGGGAATGAATTCGGTTCCCCTGCCAGCGCTCCCTTCCATCTCGACTCCGCCTCCGCCCACCTCCTAGAAGTTCACCTGGCGGCCCCGGGCCTCACCGGTCCTTGGCGCGGCCCAGTTCGTCCAGGGCAGCGCGCAGCTGCTCGTCGTGGTGGGCCAGGCGCTCGGCCTGGGAGCGCACCGTGCGCTCCGCCGCGTTCAGCCGCGCCTCCAGCTCCGCGGCGCGCCGGTGTACGGCCGCCAGGTGCGCGTTCGCCTCGCGGATCTGTAGGGGCGGCGGCGCGGACATGGCCCCAGCGGCGGTCCAGGCCCGGCCACGCCCCTGGGCCGCCTGGAACCCGTGCCCGCCCCCGGATGGACCACGCCCCAAGGCCCACGCAGGACCACGGGGCGATTGGCCGCAGCCGACTGCCTCCTCAAGCCCCAACACCCTGATTGGTTCCGGAACCTCGGAACCCCGCCCCTGGCCCGGGCCTGTTCTCCGGAGGCACACCCCATTCAGGCTCTGGCAACGGGATTGGTTCCTCTGCTCAGGAGGTAACACCAGGATTGGTCCGGATTCCGCGACCGAGCAAGTGTGACCACGTTCCGGGAATCGGTTGCTCTTCTTTCAGATACACTTGATTGGCACGTCCACGCCCCTTAGGCAATTGTACAGCTCCGGATTGGTCAAGTCCCCTACAGGTTCTGTCTCTGGTCCTTGCCACGTCCCCAAGAGTAATGCGTACTTCATCTGGCACAGGTCTTGGACCAGCTGCAAGCTGTGCACAGGCCATGTCCTTCCAGGGGTGGGCAAACTTTTTGACTCGAGGGCCACAATGGGTTCTTAAACTGGACCGGAGGGCCGGAACAAAAGCATGGATGGAGTGTTTGTGTGAACTAATATAAATTCAAAGTAAACATCATTACATAAAAGGGTACGGTCTTTTTTTTTTTTTTTTTTTTTTTTTTTTTTTAGTTTTATTTCAAACGGGCCGGATCCGGCCCGAGGGCCGTAGTTTGCCCTCGGCTGTTAGGATCTCAGTACTAGGGTTGGTCACTTTCCCGCCAAGCCCCGCCCTTGATCCTGGCCACGCCCCAAAATAAGTCGCACGCGGTTCAGATTCCTATTTGGGGACGGGCCTCAGTGCGTGACCACGCCCCTAGGCAGATTCTGACGCAGCAAGTGGCCACGTTTTCGCTATGTCCCGCCCCATAATTACCTCTGGCTCTTGTCAAACTCAGTCCCGTTCCGCCCGCGCCCTAATCTGAGCATGGCGATATGCCTAGCACCTATTATAGTCCAGCCCCTATGTTAGGTCCCACCTCCGGGAGTCAGACCATTCCTAACCTAGGGCCTTCTGAGCTAGAAATAGCGAGATCTGACCTCACTGATCCTGGTTGGCCTCACCTTTCCCCTCCAGAAATCTGCTGGGGGAGCACAAGCTCTTTCTTTACGCCAGTCCCGAACTCGGCGCGTGCGCGCAGCCCGTGTCAGTGGCCGCGGCACTCAATAAAGTTTCATGCTTGTTGCGGGCCTGTCCGCCTGGGGTGCTGCGCGCGCCTCCCCGGAAGTCTCGCGATAGCGAACGGCGGCTGCCCTTGGCCCTGGGTACTGCCGGCTGTGTAGTGCGGCGCTCGGGGTCGCAGCCATGGCGCGTCTTATTCAGCGGTACTGGGACATCCCTGACGGCACCGAGTGTCACCGCAAGGCCTACGCCAGCACTAGTATCACTGGCGCCGTTGGTGAGCACCGACTGGCCGGGCCCGGGGGCGGAGGGTGCACGGAGGTCATAGGGTCACTGGGGGCTGTCCGAGGGTGGCCTGGGGGACTGTGCGTCTCGCGGGGTGGCATATGGTTTTCCTCAGGGTGTCTGGGGATACCCTGTACGAGATAGACTTTGTGGGGTGTCGAACTAATTCCGAGGCGCGGGGAGGCCGTGGGGTCAGTGGGAGCTGTCCAGGGGGTCACATCCGGGCTGGGAATGTCGCGGGGTAGTACGTCCTCCTCGACGGGGTGTCCGGGGCGGTCATGGGGAACGCGTGAGAGAGACGTTTGCGGGGTGGGGTCTAGCAGATTGGAGGGCACCAGGAGGTTGTGGTACGTGTCACAGGCTGGTTACCGGGATTGTCAGAGTGATCCCTGGGTTCCGGGGTTTGGGGGTTATTGTTGAAGTGACACAGGCTCGTTGGAAGACGTGGAGTGAGGGCCATTATCGAGGTCAGAGGAGCCGGAGGATCAGGAGACTTTCTAACGGGGTAGTGTTGAGATTATGGGGGAGGGGGGGTAATGGGTTACTATTGGGATGTCCGAGTGGGGTACAGAAGATTTGAGAAAGTTCTGGACTGGGATGAGGTCTTTTTAGGGTTCAGGACAGTTGTGTGGTCAGGGACATCTGAAGTTTTATTGGGGCCGCCAGAGGGGTCCTAGGAGTGCGGAGGAGATCATAGGTGAAGTGAGTCAGGGGCCACTAAGAGGAAAGCCTTGGGGTGTGAGGGGACCCACAGCACTGGCGTTCCCCTGCAGGCGAGACCCCCGAGTCTCACCCCTTTTATTCTAATCTCCCTGAGAAGTAGATGTGGTTTCGGCCACCTTTGTACCTCCAGCTCCTGAAACAGGGCAGGCAGAAGTTGAGAACACTGGGAGGCATTTGCATTAGGATAAACCTAATAATCCCCATCATTATCTGCATATTTAGTGAAACCATTATCTCCATTTCTCAGAGGTGGAAACTGAAGGTTGAAGAGGTGTATTAACTGCCCCAGGGTCTTTTGAAGCCAGGCTGCATATCCAGGTCTGCTGATCTTCTGGGAGTGCCTGGGGCAAGGAGTGTGTGCGCTGGGTCCTTACGGAGGGTGGCTCCCAGGGGTGGGTTATATGGAGTCTGCTTGAATGGCAAGTTATTGGGACAGTTTAGGGCGTGTGGTGGGATCTCTGTGGGAGCCTGGAGGGCTGCACAGTGGGATTGGCTCACTGCATTCTTACGGGGAGATGCTGACACTGGTGAATGCCTAGAAGGTCCTGATTGTGTCAGGAAATTAAAGCCCAGGAGGGTGGGACTTTCAGGGAGAAGTGATGCTTTAGGGCAGTGATTTCAACCTTTTTCATCTCATGGCACACATAAACTAATTACTAAAATTCTGCAGCATAACAGAAAATATATATTTTTTGCCTATCTGACAAAAAAAAAAAAAAAAAAAAAAAAACCCAGGTGCAATTTTGATTCATTGACACCAGATGGCTATTGCTGTGTTGGCTGTTGTCATTTTATTTCTTTGACAATCTAAGGGAAAAGAGCTCAGTGCCCTGATTAAGTTGTCAGGTATTGCATATTTTAGAAATTCTTTCAGCACACGAGTGTGCCACGGCGCACCGGTTGAAAATCGCTGCTTTAGGGGATTTTGATACCGAGAAAGACATTAATGCTGGTGTGTGTGAGTGGGAGTGTACGTGTGTGCTCTCACTGGCCAACACCATTCAACTTGACTTCTGGATCCTCCCTCACCTACCTGCTCCCTCATTCCCTACCTCCCCTCAGCCCTCACAAGAGGACTGGTTTCATGTTTCGCTTCCCTGGGCTGGTGAGCCCCTGGAGGGAGCCCTATGGTCAGCAGAGCCCAGCACCTTGTAGCACGCCATAACTTTTTGAAGGAAAGAAGGAAGACAGTAACTGTGAATGAATGAATGAATGAATGAATGAATGAATGAATCAGGGCACATAGCGACTATGTGAGTGAATGAATTTTTGAATGATGGTTGTGGGTAGTAACTATTTGTGAGTGAATAAATGAACCAGGGTCCTGAGTAATTGAATGAATGGATGGATGTGGGTGGTAGTAACTGAGTGAATGAATGATTGATGGCACACAGTGACTGTAAATTAATGAATGAACAAATGTGCACTGTGTCTGGAGGCCACTGGGAGACTGAGAAGAAGCCCAGAGCAGGCTGAAGGATTGGAAAGGTGTGAGTCAGAGATCCTTGTGTGCTGGGGGTCGCAGCATCTGAGGAGTTGAGGAAGCTCCTGGAGAGGTGGTCTGTGTCAGGCCACCATGCTGGATGATTGCTTCGGGACAGTTAGGGTGGAGCAGTCTTGACCCTGGGACCATCAGGGGGCTCTCAGGTCACTTGCTCCCAGTTCAAGGACTTCTAAGGGCATGCAGGATGGTAGGGGCACACTGTGTGTCCATCATGGCCAGGACCAAGGCATATGGGATGGGGTTCATAAGGTGCCCCCCAGGGCTCACTGCATGACTGGGTTTGGGGACATCACTGAATCTTGTAAGGGGTTCCCCTTCAGGGCAGCCTAAGATTCTTGTTCCCCGCCCAGCTCCTGAGACCAAGACTCACAGGTCCCAGACAGGACTGGGAGGCCCCACCAAATAAGTCTTTAAAAGGGACCACAGCAGCTCCAGTGAGCTGCAGCCCAGCCCAGGCTAGGGTGGGGTACTGCTCAGCCTAGAGGTCCCATGGGTAAGTCCTGAGAAGCAGGTGAAGCCTACTGACCGTGGCCCCAGGGTCAGAATCATTCCACTTGCAGTCTCTTCTGCTTAATGACCTCAGGCAAGTCACTCTGCCTCTCTGCCGCCCCTCCCCTCCCATGAAGCAGCAGATAGAAGGGTATTGAGCCCCTGGGGTCCCGAGGAGGGTAGGTGCAGCCGTGGCTGTGCTTGCCACCCAGCAGGTGACAGTTCTCTTTTGTCTGGAATGAAATGGGCTTGCCTCAAGACATACCTGAACTAGGCAACACTGGGGGTCTGTAGGGAGAGCAGGGGTGTGTTGTTGCCCTGAGCAGGGTCAGCTGGAGGATAGGGAACCCGTGATGGGCTGTTCTGGTGACAAGCAGCCAGCCAGGTGGGCCCTCGTCTGCCCCAGCCATACCCCAAACCCACATACCAGCCCAGATCAGTGGTCACTCAGGATGCTTCACCTTGGTCCTTGCCACCCGCCTGGCACTCAGCAGCAGACCCAGCCCCCACTCGGGTCCCTCATGCATCAAAGGCCAAGGTCAGGGGCAGGGTGGTCAGGCCGACAGCAGAGATGGAAAGGCAGAGATGGAAAAGCTGATGGCAGTGGCGAGGCCAAGTTGGGTGGATATGGGCATCCACCCAACCAGCCAAGTGTGAGGGGCAGGCCCAGACCGGAGCTGCCAGTTGGGAGGGGGGCCTGGGTGGCAAAAAGGAGGCATTGGCAGCCCCAGGAGCCAAGCCTCTGCCAAGGAGGATTAGGCCATGGAGCCCCAGGTCCCAAAGGAGAATAAAGCCCTTGATGGGAGAGGAACCCAGGTGCCAGAGGCTCTGGGAGTGCTGCTGTGACGGCTATGCCTGCACTCAAGGCTAGGGAGTAGCCTGGCTGTTAAGGTCCTGTCCTCTGTGTACTGGGCTGGTGCCCTGCGGTGGGCCCATGAGGGTGACGGGGACCCGGTTAGGCCTTCTGCAGGCTTGATTAGGCCTTAGTGGGGAGGCCTGGGGGCTGAAGGCGGGGTGAGAGCCCAGGCTTTGCAGCAGCAGACCTGGATTCCCATCCCAGCTGAGATACC